TCAGTATAAGAGCCCCTAGGTTATGATGTCTGTCACTGTCTCACTCAGCAGGTGTGAAAATGTTGTCAATGCCCCTGATCCTGCTGAGCTTCAATGAAAGAAAAAACGATTGGCGGGCACTGGAAAACGCGACAATCTTCTTAACAGACTTACCACTAGCGAAGACTGAAATAGCGAGACTGGATTGGGGCGATCGTTTAAAAGGGATGTTTCGTGTTTGTGGATATTAAAGCAAGCGTCAGACATGATGAAACAAGCTCACTTATAACTATTGAAACACCTTTTAAGTGGAAAAGACTGCTACAGACAGCACAATTTTCTTATTAGTAAATGTGCTCTTTAATTCGTCTTGGTTTGACTACGTCATTGCAGTTTGCACAGTATTGATTGAGCCAATTGGCGACTGTTTTACCTGGAAATCCCACTTACGAACTCCAGATGTGAACGCCTCTACAATTATATTTTCCTTGGCCTTGATCACCGCATGGCCAATGAAATGGCAGGGTTTGAATGACGTTATGATGACGTCATTCAAATCATGACGTCATCTTGACATGACTTATTTCAAAGTCATGCCAGGATGACTCTGGAATAATGTCCCAGATATACCTTACCTCATTTTCGCCGGTGTGTAGCTTAGAAACTAGAGGGGCTTAGGTCTTAAGAAGAGCAAGATTGTGAATAGCACCGAGAGGTCTTCAAGATTGCTATTTCAGCTCAAAACCCCATATAAATGTGGAACGCTCCCTTTGAGATACGCGGCCTCTCTTGGGTGCACTGGATATGCATCTGTCACTATCAGGAAAAGACAGGCTAAGTAGAGCTTTTAGGACGAAACTAGAGTTAGACTAGGCAAAAGGTCCGGTGTAGGAGCGACATCACACTACTGATCGCTAGTGCTTCTCATCAAGGCGTTTGAGAGTAGTGTACTCTAAGAATGGCAAACTCAGCGAAACGTTATGAAGTATAATTGTCGAGACATTTCTATCTGGAGTACTTTGTGATTTACAGCACGTATTTAATATATGCCCTCACCAGATAGCTGCAAATGCAGGTATCTAGTCAGACGGTCTGTGACCATGCACTTAAATTGAAATTGAATGGTTCGGAAAGTCAGGTATTTGTCCGGTAATAAGATTAGACGAGGCTGTAAGCTACAGACCATATTTATCTGTGACACGAATTTTGCCGCGAATAGTCTTATTTAGGACTTATCTGTAGCAGCAAAAATATCTTCTGGGGACTGCGATTCCACATTTCAAATCCTGCATACGTGCCTTCGTCGGCTGTCTGCCGCTTGGCACAAACGTTTCATCGCGCGGCTCAATGTCCCTCATCTTCCTGCACCCATCTCTCGTCTGTCATCCTCGCCTGCGTCTCTCGCTTCAGGTTGCCCGTCCCTCGCCCATCGGTCTGCCTTTCGTCCAGTCGCCGCCCTCAAACCGTCGGTCTGTTCTCGGTCATTCGCCCTCTATCCAGCCTTTCGCGCTCCTCCCGGCCGCGGTGGGCCTATTTCGCATCGTTCGCCCCCTCCCCGGTCATTCGGCCTCTCCCAGTCGTTCGCCCTGTGCGCCGCCGTTCTTCCCAGCAGCGCTGTAACGCCATCAGCGGTGGCAGCGAGTCCGCAGACTGGGCGACCCGGCGGCCACCAAATCAATAGACCGGCCTGGGCGGCGGCGGCGGCGCACGTATATCACTCGGCTGGCGCCGGCTGCAGAGACGGGCGCACTCTCCCCGGCACGGGCTGGAGGTAGGGCACTCCCCCGGGCACGGACTGGAGGTAGGGCACTCCCCCGGGCACGGACTGGAGGTAGGGCACTCTCCCTGGCGCGGACTGGAGGTAGGGCACTCTCCCTGGCGCGGACTGGAGGTAGGGCACTCTCCTGGGCACGGACTGGAGGTGGGGCACTCTCCTGGGCACGGACCGGAGGTAGGGCACTCTCCTGGGCACGGACTGGAGGTGGGGCACTCTCCCCTGCACGGGCTGGAGGTAGGGCACTCTCCTGGGCACGGACTGGAGGTGGGGCACTCTCCTGGGCACGGACTGGAGGTGGGGCACTCTCCTGGGCACGGACTGGAGGTGGGGCACTCTCCTGGGCACGGACTGGAGATGGGGCACTCTCCTGGGCACAGGCTGGAGGTGGGGCACTCTCCTGGGCACGGACTGGAGGTGGGGCACTCTCCTGGGCACGGACTGGAGGTGGGGCACTCTCCTGGGCACGGACTGGAGGTGGGGCACTCTCCTGGGCACGGACCGGAGGTAGGGCACTCTCCTGGGCACGGACTGGAGGTGGGGCACTCTCCTGGGCACGGACTGGAGGTGGGGCACTCTCCTGGGCACGGACTGGAGGTGGGGCACTCTCCTGGGCACGGACCGGAGGTAGGGCACTCTCCTGGGCACGGACCGGAGGTAGGGCACTCTCCTGGGCACGGGCTGGAGGTGGGGCACTCTCCTGGGCACGGACCGGAGGTAGGGCACTCTCCCGGGCGCGGACTGGAGGTAGGGCACTCTCCCTGGCGCGGACTGGAGGTAGGGCACTCTCCCTGGCGCGGACTGGAGGTAGGGCACTCTCCTGGGCACGGACTGGAGGTAGGGCACTCTCCTGGGCACGGACTGGAGGTGGGGCACTCTCCCCTGCACGGGCTGGAGGTAGGGCACTCTCCTGGGCACGGACCGGAGGTGGGGCACTCTCCTGGGCACGGGCTGGAGGTGGGGCACTCTCCTGGGCACGGGCTGGAGGTGGGGCACTCTCCCCTGCACGGGCTGGAGGTAGGGCACTCTCCTGGGCACGGACCGGAGGTAGGGCACTCTCCTGGGCACGGGCTGGAGGTAGGGCACTCTCCCTGGCACGGACCGGAGGTAGGGCACTCTCCCGGGCACGGACCGGAGGTAGGACACTCTCCCAGGTACGGGACTGGAGGTGGCAGAAGCACTCAATTGGATACGGGCTGAAGGGGTGTTGCTCGGTCTTTTACCTAGTGGGGCAGGAGCAACCCGAAGGCACGGGATAGGGCAGAGGGCCTCGGTTCTGCGGGCTTCAGTTTTAAGTGAAAGGATGTCGCACCAACTGCTTACTTTTGATCAGCACGATTGCACACACTTAGGGCGATCGAAAACTCAAGTCGTCGACCACGGCACACCGACCCAACAGTATCGGTTCACCGAGCCGCACCAATATGTACGCCGACCCGTGCGCAGCGACGTACAGCCCTCCCGCGCGCGCCACTGCCGACCAACCCTCCCAGCCCTCACTTCCCCGGAGTGGAGGGAGAGTATGCTGGTCGCATGCACTCTTTGCACGTTGGAACGACCCGACTGGAATCCGGCTGACAGAAAGCGCGCACCGATAGAGCGCAAGAATTGAGGGAGGGCGCCGCCTTTTGGGACAGCAGTTGGTTAAGCATCCGCCCCGCTGGTGGAAGTTTACGCCTCATGCGTACCAGACGACCAGGCACGGTTCTGACCGGGCGCCGGCCAACAGCACCGGAGAGCTAAGCAGCTGTAGTCAGCTGACTAGACAGTCGTGGTCAGCTGACTAAGCAGCCGTAGTCCTGCGGCTGGCGATTGACACCAATCTCGCCGTCCTGCCGCGGCGGCCGGCATGACACCGAGCTTGCAAGATGACGTCACTTCCCAACAGTTCTCTTACGGGTGGGGAGCGAGGCCAGGAAACACTCTTCAAATTGGAGTGAGTGAAAAAATGACATCTGAGGACTAAGTGCACACGCTGTACACGCTCTTTGCGACTCCACATCAGGGTGCAGGTTGTTTGGCTGCCAATGACGCTCATCTGTCAAGGAGTAATTTGGCTGAGGCAGGGAGTCCAGCGTGCATGCGATGACAACAAAACGCGACTGCTTAGTTTCTTCAGTGCACAAGGCGTAAAGTTATGGACTTTGCAGTTATGGAAATGGAGAAACATTTAAGCATTGGGGTGGACTCTTGTGATGCCTATGGCATCGTTGTATAATTGCTTAAACTAGGCTGAAGCATGCCGGCATACCAGCCACCCATGTGCCTGGTTCCCAATGACAATTCTTGCTTCCCGCTTCTCAGTATAACGACTCTGAATCCTGGTCCCGGCTGGTCCTTTCATAAACACGAGCCTCTGGTTACTGGATCCCATTGGCTATTTGTGAACACACGGTCCAGGCTACTGGTTCTCATTAATTTGTCCGCAATTACGATGCCGGCTCCTGGCTTCCAGCTATTTTTCGCTGAAACTTCTTTCACAAACACCAAGCCCTTGCTCCTGTTCCCAAAGACTAGAGCCTGGGTCGTAGTCTCCATTGGCTGCTCACAAACACCAGACGCCGATGTCCGCTTCTCATCGGTTCGTTGACACCACACCAGTCCCCGGTTCCTGTTTCTTACTGGGTCATCCGTAAACGCCGTCTGCTGTTACCACATGGTAACAGTGTACCATGAACAGATACACGAAAGGGAAATGCTCGTGCATTTTAACTTGAATAACGCTCATGTATATACGGGCACCGTGTGAATAGTTATACAGTAGTTCCTTTGAAGACTCGCAGGCAGGTTGGTATGCGCTGGCTGCGTTGACTTGTACTTGATTTTGGTCTCTGCTGAATTCTCGCCATAATTCCAAGCTGGGTCTGGGTTCTTGCTGGATCTCCGGTCATATCCCATGCTACATCATGGTTATTGATGGATCTCTCGCCACGATTCCAGGTTGTGTTTTGGTTCTTTCTATATATTGAATCCCCTTTCACATTTCCAGCCAGACCTAAGTTCTTGCCCAATCCCTCAGCAAAGGGTGAAGCTGGGCGTGGTTCTCGCTGAATACTCGAACACAATTTGGTGCTGGGGCCTGGTTCTGCCTGTATTTCCGCCCTACTCAAACTGGGGTCTAGATTCTCCCGGGCTCCAAAACCAGGAACCAGTAGCGGATTTCGGGATTTTTTTTTTGGAAACCTGGCTCATGTCTGATGACAACCATTATCGTCGCGCTCTAATTAAAATGTATGTCCTTCCACAGGGTGACGATATGGGCGACAAACTTTGGAAACATTCTTTCCGAAATCTGCAAGCAAAATACGTCACGGGACTCCATCTATAACGTAAGTAATTGGGTGCTGCCATATACCATGTCCAAAATAGTGTCGTATGTTTTGGGTGCTGCCATATGTCATGTCCAAAACAGTGTCGTAATGTTTTGGGTGCTGCCATATGTCATGTCCAAAACAGTGTCGTAATGTTTTGGGTGCTGCCATATGTCATGTCCAAAACAGTGTCGTAATGTTTTGGGTGCTGCCATATGTCATGTCCAAAACAGTGTCGTGGTGCTTTGCAGGTTTGACATGGACTGTGCGGCGTACAAAATGCTACGGTCACTTACCCTCACATTAGAATGTTTCGATTCTCCTTCGCAACGAACCATTAAAAAGCCAGGGGGTTACGGCACCATTGGAATCATCTTTATTTACGGATACGAATGTTGCTCCCTCTCGATCTTAGCTTTGTAGTAATATTCTAATGCGTTTGCATCATCTGTTGTGCTTTCATCTTGTGCAATCATCTGTTGAGCTTTCGTCGCTTTGATCCATTTCCAGCGTTCCATTATAAGAGAGAAAAGAGAGAGAAAGAGAGAGAGAGAGAAAGGGAGAGAGAAAAATAGAGAGAGAGAAGAGAGAAAGAAGTGGAAGAGAGAGAGAAAAAGAGAGAAAGTGAGAGAGAAAAAGAGAGAAGAGAGAGAGAGAGAGAGAGAGAGGGAGAGAGAGCGAGGGAGAACCGGACTTGTCTTTATTTAGCGGTGATCAATGGCATCCCAAGCACCACAGGTGATGTCTGGGCGAAGGGCTGGTGCTGTCGATCGCACCATTGGTCCCATCGACCTTTACTCTCACAAAAGCATCCATGAAGTGTTGCGGGCCACGCTTGTAAAAATAATATGTTAAATAACGTAGAGCTGGCACGCACGTTTTTCTCAACGGCTGCTAACACGAGCCATCAGCACCACTGATGGCGAACGTCAAGATTGACATTTTAGCTATCAAACACGAACACAGCCTGTCAGGTGTAACTTAAACTTTCGATATAAAATGTGATTTGCGAGTTGCTGAATCTGCCTGTCGGAAGTCCTCGTCTGTGCATGTTAAAAAGACTGAGGCGGTACGAAACATCCATGCCTGACCAAATGGGCGTGTTCATATCTAACAAAGGATTGGGCATGAAATAGTATATAATTGTAATGCTCAAATTTAGGCCCCATGAATAATTTGCCTATGATGTTGGCTTCCTCCAGAAAAGTGTACAATCCCATCGAAATTTTCCGAGCTTTAACGTTTTTTTCCTCCATTGCTCTCTTGTAGAAGTGTGTTCCCCAGCCTAGCGTTTAGACAGCATGGCGGCAACCGGCTTAAATGCATCATTTCCTCACATGCTCGGATCGACGCGGGATACGACTCTCCAAGCTCTGCTAAAGCCAAGTTATGTCATTTTGGCCAGTCTGCTGCAATATCCTGGTGTGCTCGTGCACAAGTGATGGTCACAGCGTTAGAGCACGAAATGGGCGCCAGTTGCGGCCTGTGCCGGACTCCAGGGAGCCTGAACATTGCGAACTTATCCCAGGATGCTTACGCGGGTACAGCGGTACACGCTTGTTCAGAGCCAAGACGCCCGAGTGCCAGGCGAGGATAAAGAGACACAGGGGCGTAGCCCCTCCCCCCCCCCCCCTCTTCGCACTCTCTCTTAGGCCCCGATTTTTGTGTTTGTTTTATTACTATACACGGCTCCCGACAGAAAGTTAAAAAATTCGCACGATGCGCGCTCCCCGAAATCCGCCTCCACCGTTCCTCTCCCCCTTAAAAAATACTGACTGCTCCCCTGCAGAGAGCCCCCACCAGCGAACATAGGAGTATGTGGAGAGACGGGTGTGTGAAGCACCTCGGTGCGGTGTAGGTGCAGTGATATCCCGAACGCCTGTGGGAGGATGGGGACAGAGCAAGGCGCGACCCTCTTTGGGAGGAATGGGGTGGGATCTCCTCTGCATAGAGAGGAACGCCCGGCCTGCGGCTACGACGCCGACTGCCCATATGACGCATCTGCCAGGTCTTTAGGCATGAACGTATTCGTGCATCGATCAGCCGAGTCAATAGCAGGCGGCCTACCGCCGTCGGCGGCGAGCGGGGCGGTGTGGCAGGCGCCGAGCATCCAGACCGCCCGTCTGCCGGCGAGCGGTGCGGGAGGGCAGACGGCGAGAATCCAGACAGCCTGTCTGCCGGCGAGCGGCGCGGGAGGAGAGACAGCGAGAACCCATTCCGAGAAGGATGAGCTGTCTACACGCGGCTGACCTGACCTGTCCCGCAGTCGGGGCCGCGTCTTCGAATGTGGCAGGGGAAGGGCTCCCAACCACAGCGCAGGGTAAGACCAAATCAATAGCAAAACACGGCGGTAGACCTCGATAAAGCATAAACACACGACAGTAGTGCCCAATACAAACCAGACGGGCCCAGAGGGTGGTCTGTCGATGAAAACCAGACTGGTTTGGTGGATCAAAGTCAGACATATGAGAAAGGCTGCGCGATCGAAAACAGAACCTCGGGAAAGGTCTGAATACGGCCGGACGTCTGTGACACTACGAAGACACACGCGACCATCCGGAAGTGCCCGGTCAAACTCTCACGAGCGCGGCGACCAATGGCGACGCAGGAGTCGCCGTATAAGGCGCCGGTATAGACGAACAGGGAGGAGACCGTAGCACATTTGTCGCTGAGAAGCACTGTGGTGTGCTTCTTGTTGACGAAAGTTGAAATGAGGTTTCTGCGCCCGCGAAACACCAACGCATCGGTATTACGATGCGATCAATACCTGCGTTTGTGCTCTTCTCTTAGGTGTTCCCTGCTGACTTGGGTCGGGGTGTACGGCAACAAATGGCATGCAGAATGTTCTATATATGCGCATAGAATAGCCTAATAAGCAGTACCATTCACCTCAGGTAGGGTTAGTTGTACTGCTATCTTTCAATTGGGAGTATGTTGGAGGGTTTATGGTGTACCTTGTTGTCAGCCTTGGGTTAGTTCCAGAAGCAGAGCATGCCTTCATTCACTCAAAATAAGGTTTCAGAATGTACAGAGATACCACCGCTTCCTTTCTGCAGAACCAGCTGACGCCCTACTGTCTATATAAGATACGAACAGGATAGGCTCATCTATAGCGCTAACGTGTAGAAATTACAATTATTTTGGGCTACCGTATTACCAAGACAAGATATGCAGTTATAACAGAAGACTGTTGGTACGTAGGCAATGTACTTCGTTCTTAAATTCACAAATAAGTCAAGTGGTACGTACTCTAGCATTGAAAATGGTCCTGTTTGAATGCTAAAACTGAGAGCTCACTCAGGTTCCTCAGCATGCTTTCAAAATTGCCTTCGTTTCAACGCGAATGATTACCAAGGCAGGGGATTTCTTGGGTAGTGGGGTATTTATAATTGTGCCGCCTGACTTATTTTCGGCTGGAATAACTGCATAAGACTAGGTTCTAGTTCATTAAGGAAACTCGCACAATAATTTTGATGTTTGCTGAAGAGCTGATGCAGCAACATTGATAGCAATATCACTATTTTCCTTGATACACATTTTTATGTTTTGAAATATTGCTGCCAGCGGTTTCTTTGTGACGCAATTATGGCACCACGACGTACTTTAAATGAGACCTGCTGCCACCACTGTGACCTAACGTGTGTTGCCAATAGTTTACATCATCAGAGAAACGTGCGACACTTCAGTGCTGTGCCAAAAGTGCGGTGGGTCTTTGTTTAATGGAATCGCCAGAAAGGTTTGAACAACAACCATGTGAAAGCAAATCGTGCCTAATTGTTATGAAGCTGTGACATTATGTCAGAAATAGCTGTACTCTGTCAGGAATAAGTCTTATTGGAAGATATTGGTTTCCAATGCGCCGAGCTTGATTTCTATCCCCTTTTGCGCCGCATGTAGCACTTTTTCCGTGCTCGCCACACGTTACTATCATTCATCGATTGGCCTCGTGCCACCACATGTTTTTTTTTTTATCTCGGGCCGTCCCCTGCACGTCTGCGACGCCCGCGTCCGCAGTATCGCGCGTTTTTACAGAAACAGACGGCTGCCACCAGCTCTGCGACCACTTGCTGAGCCAGCTGCCAGCTTTGGCAGCCGGCTAGCGATGACGCAGGGCTAGGCATTATGCAGCTCGATACTGACAACGTTATCGGCTGAAGGAGCCCGTTGACCTAGGCTGGAAGAGGCTGGAAAAAGTAAGTAAGGTCAGACCGAACTTCCTGGCTTTAGAGTTCATGGTACCGGGGGTATGCCGGATAGCAGTGCTCCACAGAAAAAAAAACTGAGTCAAGGTTGATGCTTAAGAGGCTATGTCTGTTAAGTGCGATTCAGCTCGAAGGCGTGCTTATCTGGCCTTATTCGCAAGCCACACTGGCTTACCACTGTATTATTACCGTGCGACACAGATACGCTTGACCGTCTCGCAGGCTTCACCAGGAGATGTATCCCTGGCTGCTGCACCTGGCAGCAAATGAAGCACAGGGGGTTGCATGACAAATAAAGCGTGCCGGTTGGAGCATGACGGCGCATCGGTAAGCAGACGAGCCGTCTGAAAGCCACGCTCTAAGCTGTAGTCTGCAGCAGTCGGCCATCTTAAAATGCGGCCTTTGAGACTGCGGTACATGCGGCGGCTGGGGGCTGTGGGAGGAGCTTTGTATTTCCTTGGAGGGATCTTGTCCCTGAAAAGTGGAGCGGGGACAAGATCGAAACGAAAAATTCGTCTTTGAGGAAGTATCGTCTACGGTCCCCTCATGTATGTTTCTCCGGTTATGGCTGCTACATCTATTGAGTCCACTTTTGGAGGAGGTGCCACAGCGGAAGAGCACGAGATACAGCTAGTGCAGCTGCGTCGCTGTCATGTCACAACACCGGACTGCCGCAGGGGTCTCAGTTTCCCAGTGCCGCGCCTCCGAGAGGGCAACATTCTCAGCTAAATCAGAATATCAGGGCCGATTCAACTTCCTGTGAGTTCGCCCGGAGTCAGCGCAGCTTTCACTCAGCTCTCACAACTTTGGCTTGCTCGTCAACTTTGACTTCCATCGACTTACTGCACGGTGCTCAACGACGGGCTTCGGCAGAATAGGCTGGAACCGATTTTCTATAACAATGGCTGTGCGCCTGGGCTTGGTGCGGCGCAGGCCGTCGCAGAGCCGTGCGCCTACAAACGGCGCCGGGAAACGGAACCCCTCCGGACGCGGGGCCCGCGGGCCCCGATACCATCGCTCATGGAGACAACCTCAACAATCGGGCGCGGCTGGGCGGCGCGGCGCCTTTTTACCGCATCATTTCTGGCGGTCGGCGGAAACCCAATTATGCCGACAAGATAAATGTGGGCAATCGATTCGGCCAGAGGAGCCATCACGAGCGGCCATCGAAGACGCGGGACGAGGCTGCGCATGTGTTCCCGGCAGGCGGAGGGCAGTCTCGGGTGCGCACACTGGTTGGAAATGTGTTCCCTGGCGGGCGGGAGGCAGTATCGGGTGTGCGCACTGACTAGCAATGTGTTCTCTGGCGTCTAGAGGGCGGTATCAGGTGCGCACACTGGCTGGCAATGCTTGGCGCACATCCGGATCAAGGGTGCGGCCCTCCTCTTCACGAGGCCCGAACAAAACGAATATGTGCTTGATCTGTGCGCGATAGAGCATCCTAAAATCAGGGTTGGTAATTCAGCTTCTGCCGTCTTTTGAGTCACCATTTTCACTTGTTAAATCCGGCATAACCTGGCAAAAGAAACTAAAAAAACGTCATGCTTCTCATTTTGTCGTTTCTATCATCACAGTGTCGACACAATGCTTTCAATTTTATTAGAAAACGATCAGCAATGTACCGATACCATATCACTGTCAAGTGTGCGGTGTTATTAAGTAAAAAGAATTAGCTCATAATTGGTACAAACACTAGCTTCTAGACTTGTAACCGGTGAACATGGCCATGGATTACATGATGTATATCTACTCCTGCATCATATGAAGACACAAAACGTTGTGTATTAAACTGTTCTCGCTAGCACCAAACCAAAATTTAAATTCGGCGTAAAACAGAACGAATCATATTAAACTTCTGCAAACTCAACCAAGATGAGCAACTCAGTATAAAGCTCAGAGGTAATGCTGTACAAAATTGTCCAAATATTTATTTTCACACGAAAGGATTCGCTTAAGAGCCTCCAGAGGGCGCGGCAGCTGAGGAATGGCTGAGTGGCGCTGCCGGGCCGGGCGCCCGCCGCCGGCCGGAGACGGCTATCAGTGTGACCTGGAGCGGCGACAGACGCGTGGCCCATCTCAGCTAGCAGATCGGACCGATGGGCGGTGGGTCGTGGGCTTGCTGGCGACGGTCTTTGTTTTTGGCATCGCTAGGAACGGTGGTGAGATTTAAACGTTCCGCTTTTGTGTCAACCATTCATCACATCATGTAATGCTTTATATCCGCAAAAGAAATAAAACAAAACAAAAACAGTTAAGACGTATGATACTCAGATGGATTAATTATCCAAGTGTTTGTCAAGGTAAAGGTAGAAACTGGCTGGCGGAAACCAGCTCAGCCGGCTGCTGCCAACCCTGTTTACGGCGCTCCTTGGTAACGTTTACGTCTGTAACTGTGTTACCACGCGATCACGTACTGCGGGTGTTCTCGTTTTCATAAACATTTGACCGAACCTGCGTATTTCAGGCTTATGAAACCTCGGCCTCCATCACGACCGTTGACGGCATGCAGGTGGTCAAGAGAATGGCGCTGGATATGATGGAGATGATGGGGGCCAAGAAGGACGCCGTAACGGTACGTTTGTCTCCTGCTTGGCTAGTGGCTGCGAAGGATGCGAGACTCTGGCTTCGGCTTGGTAAGAAGTGGCGTTCACGTTCACACTAAACCGCTTTGAGCTTGCTTGCCATCACCAGGTGGCAATTGTCCGTCCGCAGAGGCAAACTGTCCCTGCGGACGGGCAACTTGAGTGCACCATGACGGAAATCGCTGTTTCTTTTTCATGTACGGCAGAGATAGAGCATTTGGTTAACAAATGATCCATTGTATGTGCCTTCGCAGCAGCGAAGGTACAAGCAGTGACCCCGGCGAATGACCCGAAAATTGGTGGTGAAGTCGTGCCTCATTTTGTTCCGTTGTATCCGCCTAACACCGCGTGGTGCCGCTCCGCCCCCGACTGCAGTCGTTCCCCACGACCACTGGCTGTCCTCCGGGCCTCATGAAAGAGCCCGGTGCTATTCCTGGACGCTGATGGCCAATGGCGGGTCATCGGCGCCGCAGTAAGAGTGCGCGTGAGGCGACAGTCCTCCAGCACGAGACCAGCTCTGGGCGGGGAGTCCCGTCCGACCGGCCATGACCGGCCACGACCTGACCGGCACGGCAGCGGCCTGCGTGCCGGCGCGCGTCCGCTGTCGCGCCAGCCGCCGCCCGCCCGCGGGTGTGAGACGATCGCTAGCGAGCCTGTCCTGGATCTGACGGTTCGCCGCCGCTGCCCGTCCGCCAGTGTCAGGCGATCGTCAGCGTGAGACGATCGCCAGCGTCAGGCGATCGTCAGCGTGAGACGATCGCCAGCGTAAGACGATTGCCAGCGTCAGGCGATCGTCAGTGTGAGACGATCGCCAGCGTGAGACGATCGCCAGCGTGAGACGATCGTCAGCGTGAGACGATTGTCAGCGTGAGACGATCGTCAGCGTGAGACGATCGTCAGCGTGAGACGATCGTCAGCGTGAGACGATCGTCAGTGTGAGACGATCGCCAGCGTGAGACGATCGCCAGCGTGAGACGATCGCCAGCGTGAGACGATCGCCAGCGTGAGACGATCGTCAGCGTGAGACGATCGCCAGCGTGAGACGATCGCCAGCGTGAGACGATCGCCAGCGTGAGACGATCGTCAGCGTGAGACGATCGTCAGCGTGAGACGATCGTCAGCGTGAGACGATCGTCAGCGTGAGACGATCGTCAGCGTGAGACGATCGTCAGTGTGAGACGATCGTCAGCGTAAAACGATTGCCAGCGTGAGACGATCGTCAGCGTGAGACGATCGTCAGCGTGAGACGATCGTCAGCGTGAGACGATCGTCAGTGTGAGACGATCGTCAGCGTCAGGCGATCGTCAGCGTGAGACGATCGTCAGCGTGAGACGATCGTCAGCGTGAGACGATCGTCAGCGTGAGACGATCGTCAGCGTGAGACGATTGCCAGCGTGAGACGATCGCCAGCGTAAGACGATTGCCAGCGTGAGACGATCGCCAGCGTGAGACGATCGTCAGCGTGAGACGATCGTCAGCGTGAGACGATCGCCAGCGTGAGACGATCGTCAGCGTAAGACGATCGTCAGCGTGAGACGATCGTCAGCGTGATCTCTGACGGCCCGCCGCCGCCCGCAGATGATCGTCGATATGGCGGAGACGGCGGCCATGTCGCACATAGACGAGCCCGAACCCCACGTGGACTACTTCAACGCCAAGAAGCTCAACGAGTACGAGACGATCCGCAACAACATCACCCTGAAGCAGGGCTACAGGGAGTTCAAGCTGGGCAACTCCTCCAAGCACTTCAGCGGCATACCCGTCAACATGACGCACAGCACCGTCCACGTCCCCACCAACGTGTACGACAAATGTACGTGGAGCTTTGCATCTAGCGCTTTCTGCTTTCAAAAGGTGTCGCCGCCATGCATGGGGCCGTTGTATTCGGAGCGTGGATTAAATCAGAACAGGTTATTTAGATATAGTCTTGTTATTCCATCAGTCGGCATGCGTGAACGGAGATTCTGCTTTCAACAGCGACGCCGCATCACTTCCACTACTGGTGCCTGTGTTATGTTGCCTTTTCCGTTTGCTTCCTACATTGCTACTGCGTTTATTATACCTACATTTATTGCCGCCTAAGTCTTGCCAACTGGCATGTACAAACAGTTTGCTGCATAAGATTTGACAGGTTACCCAATCCATGATTCCTGCTGCATGCGAAGTTTGAGAAATGCTCCATTTCTGACGCAGCGATTTAATGGCGCTGTTGTTCATGTCGTTTTTGTTCTACGCTGGCAGTGCCGACGTTCAGGGTTTATTACGCGCTTTTTCTGCAGCTTCGGACGTGCTTAATACAATCAAGTGGTCCGAGAAGCTGGATAGAGTCTTCGTCTCCAACTTCAAGAACGACCCGTCCATGTCCTGGCAGTACTTCGGCTCGTCCACGGGTATAATGCGCCAGTATCCAGGTGCGACTTTATACAAATATGTGCGTTTTCTCCTTATGTACAGCACTCACGTACCGCACAGCACTTGCCTGATGTACACCACTCTCTATCATCACACTTCGTGAGGCTCGCGACCTCCCCCGTGCGTTCTCTCGGCCACCACGCCGGGCAGGGAGTGGTAATCTTCTCTGGCGTCTGACCCGACCGCGTCGACCCGACACTGAGCCTCTGGCACGGGACGCCGTAGCAGTGTAGTGTGCGCGACAGTACAGTGTTCGAGTCGGCATCGATCCACTTGTGGCGACGGCGGCGCGATGACTCAGCTGGCCCATTGTCCCGCCGTCGGCGCGCCGGACAGCTGAGCTGGACCGTGACCCCCCCCCCCCCCTCCCGCCCTCGTCCCCCGCAGGGGTCAAGTGGATCGTGGACCCCGAGGACCCGGACCTGTACGACTGCCGCATGCGTGAGTGGTACATCCGCGCGGCCAGCAGTCCCAAGGATGTGATCGTTCTCCTCGACCTGTCCGGTGAGTGGACGCCAGTGGGCCGGCCGTTGCGGGCGGGGGACGGCCGTTATGACCGCTTGGACTTGCCCATGTGTTGTGCAGCTGTGGCGGCGCACCGGGGTCCGTAGAGCGCCACGTAAACGAAGTCGGTCGATTTCAGTCAATCCTCGCGGTTTCGTTCGGAAGTCATGACTTCGCAGTCGAATCACGCTTTGGGTCGCGTGAAGAGGTGGTCATGACCTGGGCTTGAATGCCTGTCGGGTTGTGTTTGGTTTCCTTCGGATTCTGAGGGCAAGGTCACATGGGCGGGCTGTTTTTAATGGCCAGCTGTATGGCTGAACCGGTTTTAGTTGGTAGGTCTTATGACCAGCTGATTTTGATTAGCCGGCTGCCTTCCCAGACTAGCTTTGACGCGATTTCAGTGACCATATTTGATTGGTAGGCTCCATGACTGGCTTGAGGGTGGAGATCGCCAAACACGTGGTCCTCAACATCCTCGACACGCTCAATACCAACGACTACGTGAACATCTACAACTTCTCCAGCGAGGTCGAAGCGCTGTATCCGTGCTTCGCCGATACCCTGGTGCAGGTAATGTACGGATGCGGCTGGGGCGGCACTATAATCATTGCAGTGTGCATTGCCGCGCACTGAACAAGGCAACATCGATCGGCAGTTTGTTAAATCGATCGTCTGCTTATTGTTACATGGTGTACTGAATATCAATATCTGTCAGCATAAGGACAATGAACTCATTAAAGGGTTGTCCCAAATGTCACAAAGGAAATGTCCCAATTTGAAGATATTGAAGCAAGCATCAGATATGATGGAATGAGCTCACTTATAACTATTGGTATGCTTTTGAGCACAAAAGGCTGCTCTAGACAACACAATTTCTCTGTTTAGTAAATACGTCCCTCAATGCGTCATTGTTTAATTATGTCATTGTGTTGCGCACAACACTGAGTGAGAGTCCACTGACACCGTTATATCAGAAAATCGTATGTGAACGACTCGACAAAAATATCTGTATTGGCTTTGGCCATTATATATATATATATATATATATATATATATATATATATATATATATATATATATATTATATGGCTATTGGCTAATTTGTATTATTATTGCCAATGGAATTGCATGCATTGAATGGCGTTATTATGCCGTCATGGATGCCTGGGTGACCTCGAAAAAATCCCGAAATAGTTTGCACGTCTTCGCGGGCGTGTAGCTCAGAAGCTACAGAGGCTTAGGTCGTAAGAACGGCAGGCTTGCGAGCTGTACCAAATGATTTTCAATATGGTTATTTCAGGCCAGAACCCCATATAGATGTGGAACATTTCCTTTAGCGTGGTCAAAAGGGTAGGAAGAGAGCCAGGGCACTGCGTAGCTAAACGACCTCTGCCTTTAGGCTTTCAGCTCTTCGGCGGGCATTTGATTCGTTACTGTGTCGGTGGCATGTGCCGGCGGCCATGTGGGCGATGAGGGCGGTGTCGACCGGCAGCTATGGACTCTGGCTGCCTACCTCTGCAATGACGTCAGCTGGCGCTCGGCCTCGTCTTCCCCCTTGGAACGGATGCTTCAGTGACAACATTTCCTGCCCAGAAAATCATTCTCACCCTCGTATTTCTGTATCATCTTGGTACATGTGTTCTCTCACCCCCAGAGGTCGACGGGTTGAGTTTTTGGACGCCCTAAGTGAGAACAGTCGTGCCGATCAAATAAAGACAGTTGGTGAGATATCTCAGCATTGAGAGCTTTAACCCGCGGGACCAAGGACCATTGCACTATTCCCACTAACCTAAAATTGAGACTAAAACCACAGCACTAAAACTGCCCGTCCACGGCTTTTGACGAACGAAAATGACTCTTTCGGTCATACCTGGAAAATATACAGAAGTGGGGTGGTCGCCTTTCCCCTCCTCCACTTTGTCTGACGTTTCAACGGCCCTGAATGCGGTGAGCATCCTAGCGTCTTGCCGTCCTCCCTCTTCGCAGCGGTCCTTGGCATCGTCTCTGTTACCTGTGTATGTGGTTTAGCAGCGTGCATGAATTGGATGCGTTTAATGCGGCCAATAATACGCCGCTTACTCGTTGACAGGCAAATCTGGAAAATATACGCATCTTTAAGGAAGCCCTAGATAAAGTAGAAACGCGCGAGCTAGCCAACTTTGCGACAGCGCTCACCCAAGCATTCAAGACACTCAAACAGGTAAGCCTGCCAATGTGGAAGAATTCCACCACGTTCAACTGGTGTCCACCAAGCCGCTGATCGCGTGCACGTACTCAAATTTCCGAATGTCAGGCGTGCACCCTGAGGTTTGTATCCCCTAAGGACTGCTTGAACACCACGGATTGGATGCCACGTCGTTTAGAAGAGCGCGATCTCCAGCACTGTTCCTTACCATTCGGTCGGGAATCGCGGGTTGCTGGCGCCTACAGGGCTGCGTTAGGTGCAGCTGTAGGTATGTCTCGCGTCTGAAAATCGGTGAACGACCCCATATCCCCAGACAGTACCCACCTTTATACATGACCCTGCCTCTTGTTGGCGGATTTTTTTCGCCTCTTTCACACAACATTGATTCCATCCAGCATACACCGTTGTGGTCATAAAGCTGAATGTTTAGAATTAAAAAAATGGACGCAATATATTCTTGTCCAACACCGCGTGCTGCATCGTTCGGTTAGCTTGTAGGGGGTGGGATAAATTTGTTCATCATACTAACTTCGGTAAACTTCAGTCATATTTTTGCCCTTGCATAATGCACTATATCATATTGTTTCACCTAATACTAACGTGATCGTATGTAAGGAACTATTCAAAGACCATGTAAGTTGTGGTATGCCTTGCTAAAACGCATGGCCTGTCATTACAGTTCAGATATCAAAAAGCCTCGGAAGAAAATGACTTGCTTTAAATAAACAATTTTGAATGATACATACACAACTAGAAACACCACTTCGAAATACCGTTTTGCTTTGAAGCGCAAAAATATTTATTATTGTAAATTGCTCGTTTTTGCCGAATCGTCCGAGGCGTCCCTTGCGACCCATTAATACCACTAGTGGTACCAGTGGCAACCCTTCAGCTGACAGGCTGGCTGTCAGGGAATCGCAGACATTCATTCGTAGCTGGGGATCACCAGGGAATCGCAGATATTCAGCCCTGGTCACACGCACATCCGTCCCGTTCTCGACTGGAGTAGGTGTCGTCGCCGTAGTGACCCCCGGGCACTGTTCCAGCAACGGGAGACGAATGAGAGCGCCCAGTGCAACCAGGCCATCATGCTGATCACTGACGGCGCCCCGGAAAAGTTCGAGCAGGTCTTCAAGACGTATAACCGGCCCGAAAAGCCCGTGCGCGTGTTCACGTACCTGATCGGCCGGGACGTAACGGACCGCGAGGCCGTTGAATGGATGGCGTGCGCCAACAAAGGTCAGCACTGCGCGGCCGGCATCGGCGGCGTCAGCGGACGTGCGGGAGCACGCTCGAGGCGGCGCTGCTCTCTGTCTCGGCTTCGACGCGGCTGAGCGCGACTGTGGGTGTGTAATTGTGCGACCGAACTTTGGCCGCCGTGACCTGCTGACGGCCGACCGTTTGCAGGGTACTTCACGCACGTGACGACGCTGGCTGAGGTGCGGGAGCAGGTGCAGAAGTACGTGCCGGTCCTGGCGCGGCCCTGGGTGCTTTACAAGACCGACCACCCCGTCATCTGGACCGGCGTGTACGCCGACATCGCTGTAAGACCCCTGTCTTTCCTCGCCGTCCGTGCTGTCTGCCCCCACGCTCGGACGCCTGACCGCGGGGTCGGCAGACGCCTGCCAGCCCTCCGCAGTCCGCTAACGCCTCGCACTGACCGCATCGCAGCGAGTGTGCGCTGCAGCGTCCGGGACGCGCTGACGGCGGTTGGTGCGCTTGCGCTCACGTCGCACGCTGCTCCCCAGGACCCCAAACTAACCGACTGGCTGTGGGAGATCCGCGAGCGCGCGCGCCAGTACCAACGCAGCAAGAACTACCAGACCATCATCAAAAACTCGGCCGGCCCGGACGAGAAGGTGGGCGGCCGCACCGAGAGGCAGTGCTACGACGAGATGGAGAACTTCCTCAGCTTCGGCGTCCGCAGACTCAATAAGACGGAACGAGAAAGAATCGAAGCACAGAGGTATCAAGACACCAAGGTGAGGGTACGGGCCGGGGGCGGCCGACCCGCGGGCTCTGTGGTGTTGTGTTGTTGCGACTGTTCACGGGCTAATGGCGGAGCCGATGTTGAATCGGGACACGGGACGGCCATTAAAGGCCTTCGCTCGAGGCATCCGATGGCTGTAGTGGGGTGATCTGTTTATTCGTCCACATCTGTCTGTCATCTCTGGCATTGCGAACCGGATCGTCACGTATATGACATAAGCCTGTCATTGGGTGCTTCGGAGCACGTTGTTTTGAAGCCATTTCTGACATAAACGTCACGAACGTGCGATCAAAAAACTGGAGCCTGACGGAAAGCGCTTGGCTATATGTTCTCACGCCTCGGGACGTTCTGCGACATGGAGCTCCCGCGCCGCGTAGCCTCGTAGGCTTGTTTATACATGGACCGCCTGAAGGCGGGGTGCTCGACGTCACGTCCAATCCGCGTTCAGTGCCTGCCACTGCCGGTCCCAGTCCAGGGTCAAGCCTCAAGTCACCACGTCCCTCACCACCGCCCGCGCCCCACGCACTCTCGGTCGCCGGACGTTATAGCCACGGAAGCCCCAGTGACGCCATCTGCTCCACGGACACCACACTGCGGGCGGCTGTGCGGTGTCGCCGCCCGTTAGGCTGGTTCGGGAAGCCACGACTGGGCTGGGTCAAAGCCGTTCGTATTCCCAACGTCACCCGTAGAGGCATTGTCGCTGACGTTGACTAAGCGGGGTGGTTAAGGTGGCTGTCTACTTTCCACTCATTAGAGGAGGGTCCCTAGTGAGACCCGCGATTGGACGCACGCCTCACGCCACTCGCATGGCCCCATTTTGTCGAGGGTGTCGTGGCAATAGTGACCTATGAGTTAAATGAGTCGAAAACCATCACAACTAATCCTCGTGGCAAAATTCCTGCAGGCTGTCCGCCAGCTTTAACGTTATACCCGATGTGAGCAAGAAAGGCGTTGAGCTGCTGGTTACTCGGCTTTACGAGCTGCGAGGTCTCATTTCGGCACTAATCCGTCTCGAGTATACCAGGGGTAATGGTTGAACGAATTTTTCAGCCAAGCATTGACCAAAGCGGGAAACTGACGGCTCAATCCGTGCTCGTCACCATGAGCGCAACTTGCAACGTGGGTTTTATCGACGTCATCTCGGCGTTTCGAGCCTGCTCCAGTTGTGAGCATAAACACAACGCTGGGCATGACACGTAGAGTTGCATCAAGATAGCCAATGCCTGCTTGATGGCTTTATGCAGTTCCAACGAGTACCACGTGGTGTATTGATGGGTGATTATGTCCACAATAAAGGATTTAACGTGCGCCCGGGTGGCCGGTTAAATATGGCACCGTTCGGGTGGGGTGAGGTCAATTAGGCTTCCTCTGAGATATAAACAACTGAGAGAGCAAGAGGCACTAAACTCACAGGATAGATAGGCTTGTATGTGGACTTACTTGTGCCAAATTTTCAAGTTCATAGATTTTATTTGACCTATAGGTCAAATACAGTAAAGAAGATCCAACTCCAGACTGGTGTCCGAAGCTCCTTCATACTGCCTTGTTGCATGACATTTTACCCCGATGCTTCTACTAATCAAAAGATCATTGGTGTTTATCTCAGGTCAGTGACCTCATTTGATCTTCAAAAGGTCACAGCGACCAAAAACCTGCGGGATTGTTTTGAATTTAAATTTCAACGAGCCCCAAAGATGTGTTACGCTAGGTTGTATGTTTCTGAAAAAGGTTTATCGGGCTTAGGTTTATCATGTTAAGGCAGTGACCTCTTTAAACTTTTATGAAGGTCGGATAACGCATTTTTCTCCATGAGATCAGTGAATTCAAAATGAGCGTCAATAACTGCTTGTGCTGCTGCTCCTTAAAGCAAGGTATTCAGCCCAAAAAAGGTTTTCACCTCGACCTCGCCTTCATGCCTGACCCAAGGTCAATGCGATTCGTCGTAATCTTAAATTTCATCATCTTAGTGCCAAAGAAACCATTTCAAAAAGGTATCGCTTCGTCTACCAGCCCGTTATTGTATCAGATTGAACGAGTCCCTAGGAATGGTCCTTGTTGAGAGAGCCATGGCATGACTTTGACCCTTCATTGCCTAGCGATCTTACAAGGTAAAGCAATTTTATGCCAAAAGATTGGGTGCTCAATCTGCTGCAGCAACTCAAAGTGTGACACCGCCACGATGTGCCGCCATCGTGCGGCTATGCCACGTCATACGGAGGCTGTTTTGGAAAAAAAACTTTGGTGAAGATGTCTTGGTGAACGGTACCGCATTTATGCCACATCATATTTTGACGAATTCCTAGCTTATCCTGTCGGATTGATGTCCTGAGGGATTTCTGACGTCCGTCCAAATATTGCACCGCGCGCTGAACCTTGAACATGGATACTTGCGCACGTCGGACAACGCTCGCCAAAAAGTCAGCATGCGGGAACGACCAGCACGGGGCGGGGCGGAACCTGATCAGTTTGCTATTGGAATCCAACGTCCAGTCCTGTTTAGATAGCCTTGCCGCTCCAGAATCAGACAAGAGCTTGAAACGCTCCCGTGGCTGTGCCAACCCGAGTCTCGTACCTCGAGCGATGCCCCTGACCTGGACGACCGCGTGCCCGTGGCGGGGACTGTGTCGCGGTCGCTGTTCTGTTCGTGGGTGGAGAGCGTCATACCACTGTCAAGTGTTGGCAGGAGGCACGCACCTGTGTTGTCTGTGGCTAAAAGTTTGTCCTCGTTCTTTGTAGCTAGACCTACGTGAGAGAGGCCTCAGCAATAAGTGGACATTATACATTGTAAGTTCCGGAGGGTGGCAGCACTCAGAGTCTTTCGGTTACCTTCTCAAGAGTTTCCTCGCCTTTTCTGCACCCACGTCTTTTCTCTCACCGCTTTTGAATGTTCGGTTAGCTGCTTGAATGCTATCGTGTGTGGCTCTCACTGTACGAAGCATTGTACATAAATACCTTACCATGGATGAAGCTCGGTGCGAGGAGTGCGCCCGGCAGACGCAGCTGTGGGGAGGGGTGGCTGGCGGCGATGCTGGGTCCCCTCCCAGCTGTCTCCTGCCCGCACAATCCATATCACACCTGTTCTCAGAGAGCGGCGTTCGTCGCCGCAGCGCCCGGGGCTCCTCAAACTTCGTGTCTATGCATGACTCTGCCGACGCAATTTTAACGACTTGCTGAAGCCAGCATTGGTGGCGGAGCCAAAGGATCACCATTGAGCCTCAGTGCCGAACCGCGCTAACGGCATCCCTCGAATTTGAAGAGCCCCGTCCGGCCGGCCTTCGCCCGGGTGCAGTGTGCGGGTGTTCCGGTCTGCGGCCGGGTGCACTCGGCTGGTGTGCGGGGCGGGTGGTGCCGGCCGGGGGAGGAGCGCCAGCTCCGACTCGATCCATGCTAGAGCCGCACGCGCCGTGTTTACCCTGTGTGTCCTGCACCCAAGCATGCACGGCCGAGGAGGGTGCGGCGTCACAGGGTGCGCCACGCGCGCCACCGAGCCGGCAGGCTCAGGAGGCGCCACCAGCGGCGGCCGCCGCCGCCACCGCCACGGCTTGCCGCGCTTACTAGCACTAAAATCACTCAGGGACAGTTGATACTGAACATACGGAAGCACCAGGTTTGTAGAGGCCAACAGTCGCTTCGCATGCGCATGCCGCCTGTGACGTGTACGTGGTGTGTGCGTCCTGGCTGATGTCGCATGACGAGGTAAGAACCGTGGCCTGCCTGCTCGTATCTTGGGCAGGGGCGCCAGATTCAGGGCTTCGTGCTTATGCTTGAATCTAAGGCGAACCCTCTTCAGAGGGCGTTGCCTTGGAAACGGGAGCTGCAACGACAGTCATTAGCCTGAGAGTTGCCTACGTGTTCATGTACAGTCTGTTTCGCGGCTCTGTAATTGATAATTGGCGCAATGAATAAGCAGCTCGTGAATGTGTGTTTAGGCCCTTGTATTTCTAGTTATGTGTAACTTGAAACTGTATGTGCTTGAGGTACACCAAAACCTCGTGTGTAGTCAGGGATAAGGTGCGTTAAAAGTCGTCAAGAGCCTTCCAGTCGAGAGAACTCAGTTCTGTTTCCGTCGTTGAAATTATCGATATTCAACCTTTTTCACGGCATTTAGTGATTGTACGAATTTTAGAAGCACCTTCAGAACAACACTCAGGAGGTCTAAAGCTCCGCACATGAAGGTTGCACGGCATCTGAATGTCGCGTACTAATGTAAGGCAAATGCTCAAATGGATGCCGCCGCTTGACTGGGGAAGAAATAACTGGTGATTTTCAAGCAAGAGCATAAAACCGTTTCGGCAACCACCTGTCATCTAAAGATATACCTACAGTTGTCATCACATGCGAAGCGCGGCAGAACGGTGTTCCAGTGGGCTGAACCCCAGTAGAAATGTACATGTTGGCCCGCAGTGTATCTCGTGTATCTGGCTCGGCTCTCTCCCACGTCGGCCGAGGTCCGTTGTGTAGCCAGCCGCTGATAGCTCGGACCCAGACGCTTTGCTTGACGCCGTCCCGTGACTCGGTTGGGGTCGGTCTCGCGCGGGGGGAGGGGGGAGTGTACCGCTCATCGTTCGGCGCTGCGGGAGCGTCAGCTGGCCTGAGGCCGGGGAGGGGGCGGGGGCTCCCGTGGCGAGCTGACGCCGCTGACTGGGTCACATGTCGTCGACAGGGGCGCACTGGCAGCGAGGCGACCCGCCGCGGCTACCGCCTCATGACCTCCATCTCCATGCCCGTCTTCGACAAGAACAGCAAGGGGGTAAGGGTCGGCCGGCAGCCGGGGCGCCGTCGATCATTGGGCTCCAGAGGGCGCAGCTGGAACGCGACCCGGTCTGCTCCGTCAGCTGGCCGGAGCCCCTATGATCTTGTGGCCTCGCTCAGCGGCCCAACACGAGCTGCACGGACGAAGATATCCCACAGGGCCACGCCTGTTTGTATTGTTCACACCAAATGTTACTTTATATTGTTATTCACATAATACGAAAACGGAAAATGGTGAGGGTTATATCCTGGATCACTTGCCAGTCACTTACGTCGGACCTTTTATGATGTAACTAAATAAGGAGTATATAAAATAATCCACTTGTTTGAAGTACTCTGGCTTAGGCGAGCTCTAAGCGTGGAAGCAAAACCTCTAAGCAAGCTCTGTATTCACCCATTTGAAGATCAGCTAGCTACTGCCGGTCCCTCGTGGCCTCTGACCGGTGCCGTTGCTTTACAGAACGTGACGGAAAAGGTTTTCGTCAATAACACTCAGTGGGTGTACCGTACCCAAGAGGTATCCACTGTTCCAGGAATGCTGTACCGTTCTGAGTTTAGCTGCAGCTTTCCAGTCGGGCGGCGTGATAGCGTCCGACAGCTAGTTAGGGGTGCCACCTCCCGGTGAAACGGCCCGACTGTTGGCCTGCTCGATGTCAGATCATAACCAGCTCAGGCCAGCGCCTGATTGGCTGCTGACTTGGTCCTCTAGCCGTGATTGGCCCGCGCCAGCCAGCGTTGCTAGCGCGAGCCGTACGCGAGCAGTCCCACGCCGATCCTCCAACCGGCGCGAGCTCAGCCTCGTGGGCCTGCTCGTGCGCTGCGCCGAAAACTGACCCGACCGTCCACCGGGAGGTGGCGCCCGCGTTTTGCGTAGCGGTATGTAATCTCTCGCGCGTTGCGGCGCCGTCTTTGACAGAGCATGTGTGCCCGCCCCACGCCGCCCCCGTCCGGCCCTGCGGCCGGTGCGCCGCCCTGGGACTGGGTGGAGGCCTCCACCGACGCCGCTGGCGTCAGCCGGGGTAGACCTCAGCGACGGGAGACGCCGCGCTCCCCTGGCGCGCACGGCGGGGCACCACAGTGCGAATCGGCGGCCTCGCACTTCTGGTTTACGCGGTGGAGATGCAGGGGCCGTGATCAGGGATTGAATCGCAGACTAATGCAGGCATTCCGCGCCCGGGTCGTCAGCACCAAACCGCGGTCCCATGGCTCAGGCGCCACCGCCTGAGCCATGGGACTTTTGTCTGCAGTGGAGCCAGCGGGATTGGAAATTGCTGCTGGGCGGCCGGATGTGTCGACACCGCGTGAAACTCTGAGTGCACCGGCCCGCGGATTAGTTCTGTGAGCTGGCCCAGGCCTAGGCGGAGACGCACTTTAGCTGGTCAGTAGGCGAGACGTTAGTGTAGAGGAGTTAGGAGTACGTAGGCGTGCCTTAGCCGGGTAACTGTGACAGCGTAGGGTCCATGAGGTAACTAGGTCTAGCTGTATGTGCAGAGAGATGTTGCTAACCTGCGGCAGAATGGAAGGCGTTAATCCTCCGACTGTTGGGTCACAGGGCTCCGCGGATACTAGAGATGTGAAGAGTGAACTGGTTAGGAAATATTTCATACAACCGCACTGCATGCTTTCTGCTGACGACCTGCTGAAACGACTTTTGGTATGCGTATTTTTACAGAAAGCTTCTAAATCCCGCAAGGCGAATTTTGCAATTCAACTGCGTCATACTATGCATCGAGCGCTGCCGTGACAAACTGCCAGTTTGTCAACATTTTCTTCTCTAAGCTTTTCGGGGTCATGCTCTCAGCGCCAAATCCTGACTGTACATACAAGCATGCCGCATCTTGCCGACGTCTGTGAACTGGGGCTCGGCCGGTCACGTCTGGCGAGCTCAGCCGAGGCTCGGGGGCCGGGGACGCCTGCGGACCGGGTCGACAGACCGGCCCTGGGGCTTGGGAGCCCGCAGTGCCCGGCCCTGGGCGCGGGCCCGGCATTGGTACGTCCATGCTTGGGGTGGACGGCGGTGGCCGGTCGGGGCGTGGTTCGGGAGCTAACCGATCAGCTGGGGCTCGTGTCGACGCGGTGTGTGGACCGAGGTGGGGATCGGCGGGGACGTCTGTCCCCCAGCGGGGACCGGGACCGACTACGCGCTAGCGTTGGGTCTCTGACGGTGCGCCGCCCGGCGCCGCCCTGTTGCAGAAGCGCGTGGCCCGGTTGCTGGGCGTGGCCGGGACGGACGTGCCGCTGAGCGACATCCAGAAGCACGCGCCGCCACACAAGGTGAGCCGCGTCGGACACGTGGCGGCACCTGTCGCGGCCGCCGGCAGGCTCAGGTGCCGCCGGCGGCCGCCAGCTGACGGACGAGTCGGCGGGACTTATATTGAGTGGCCGTTGGCCACCCTGTGAGTTACAGCTGGCTTCGTTCGAGGGCGTTGCTGTGAGGATCAATGGATGGGACAATGCTGGTACTGCTGAAAGGTGAAATGGGTCAAAATGTGCCGGGAGTCGCAACTTTTACGGCGTAGAGCTTCCAGGCTGTGGTGCTATAACTTTTACATTGTACGTGGCGAGTACTTATGACATTACAGTGCAGGATGAACAGTGCGAATGCATCGGCCAGCGGAGCATTTAAAGCGCACCTCCTTCAACTGTCCTCCATGTCTGCAGCTCGGCGTCAACGGCTATTCTTTCTTGGTCGACAACAACGGTTACGTGCTGTACCACCCAGACCTGCGCCCCGTGGTGAGTCAGCCCGTCAGGCCGTGCTGAACGGGCTTCCGTCTGCCCTCGACAGCTTCTCGCTGTCGTTACAGGATATGTGGTACGATGTCCTCGCTTGTTCGAGTGAAATGAGGACCGGCTGGCGATGCGCCAGCGCTGTGTATCAATCAGGTTATGTTCGTTAAAGGATGGAGGTCCTGTCTAAAACGATGATGTTTGTGAAATGCAAACTGCACATCGTTCGCGGTCAAAAGCGGCACCGTTTTTCCGCGCTGTTATGTCCTCTTCGCAAGAAAGGCTTCATCTTATTGACACTTTAACTGGGCCTGAGGATATGGATCGCATGGTGGGCTATATTTACTCTTCCTTCAGTGTTCCTACAGAGCTGTGTGTGGTCATTTTAGCCGGCATTCACTATATTATCACCGTTTACTTCTCAATGAATGATTGTAGTTATTTTCTAGTTAGCTCTGGCGTTCATCGAATGGCAAAAACGCATTTTGCCCATAATGACTCGCTCCATGAGAAAGGTACATAGGTTCAGGTTAGGAATCGCTACCCTTCTGTCCGTTCTGTGCCGTCTAAAGGTTGCTGACTAGTCGGCGGTAGGCTGAACATGCCGTTCTTTATGGTGATTGTCCATCTGATTACCGCGCCGATGCGGTATGCCCTGGCGTACGGGTGTGCGTGTTTGTGTGTTTGTGTGTGTGTGTTTGTGTGTGTGTGCGTGTTTGTGTGTGTGTGTTTGTTTGTGTGTGTGCGTTTAGCTTGATTTGCCTGTGTAGACCGACTCATCTCTGCCTTACCTCACTTGAACCTTGGTTGTGTAGAAGAAGACATCGTAGCACCTGCATTTAAAGAGAATGTTCCACATTTGAAAATATGGAAACAACTACCAGATATGATGAAATAAGCTCACTCACAACTATTGGCGTACTTTTGAGTGAAAAGGGCTGCTCCAGACAACGCAATTTCTCTTTTTAGTAGACATGCTCCTCAATGCGTCATTGTATGATAACGTCATCGTACCCCGCACAACATTGATTGAGAGCCACTTGACGGTCGTTATATCTGGAAATCATGCTCACAAACGCCAGATATGAATGACTCGACAATTGTTTTTATTGGTCGTGATCGTTGTGTGGCTAATGGAATTGCAGGATTTGAATGGCATTATTATGGCGTCATGGATGCCTGGGTGACGGCGAAATAGTCTCTTCGAAAATCCCTGCACTTCCTCGCGGGCGTGCAGCTTAAAAACTAGAGCGGATTAGGTCTTAAGAAGTGCAGGGCTGTCAACTGATCCCAATGATCATCAAGATCGCTATTTCGGCTCAAAAGCCCCCAAAATGTGGAACGCTCTCGTTGATATAATCTAGCGAGCTGTATTTCGGGCGTTAGTGTATCTGAGCGAGGCTAACCGCATTACGTGGCCTTAATTGGCCTCGCATCGTTTTACGTGAGGCCAATTCCAGCGGACAGACCCCGCTGGCTGGCACTGGGTCGACCTGTTACCTTGATGTAGATAATTGCGCAAGGCTGTTGTTTGCGGTGAACTGAAAAAGCAATTTCATCATGTTAACAAATCCTCAGAACCAGCAAATGAAGTTTAAACAAGGACTTAAGCTACGGATAACGCTTATGCGCAACGCTTATGCGCAAAATACATGCAAAACTCTCGACTGCCAAAGGCGATGGGGCAGGTCCCTGGCTCAGCAACAACGCATCAGGTCACTTATGTTCTTATCCGGCAATTTTTCAGCACAGAGAAGCCACGAAGCAGTTCCAAGAGATCTTGAAACCCAATTACAACACTGTGGACTTGGCCGAAGTGGAAATTGTAGACAACGACGAGCCAAGAAGTAACGATACTAAGCTGTTCATGGTAAGAGACACTGCCACAGATGCCGGATAACGGCTTGCCTATGAGCAGATTCTGCTGTTAATAATTTGCATTGGCATGGACGACAATTGGTAACTCTGTTAACTGTGGCTATGCACAAATGATGCGCACGCGCAGAACTTGGACGTCCAGGCTGCAGACTGATCTGAACTGATAACGATGCGTTAAAGACCTGTGTCATCGGCTCGGTTGTCGCATCGGTATTCCACTGGTGTTGGGGTGGCTGTTTTGCCACTCCAACATCTCTAGGAGGTCGCTTAAATGAAACAAGCATGTAGTGTGGAGGACGGTCGTGTGATAAGCCGTTGCCCTGTCAGGAAGTACGGCAGCGCGCTGTGGGGTGATAGTGTTGCCTGTTGGACTCACCTGAGCGCCACCTGCCGTTTCAGTTGCGGAAGGATATGATTGATCGACAGAAGGCGGAGACGTCGCTGTATGTGCGACAGCACCTCGACGACATGGTGAGTGAAAGCTGTCGTTTGATCTCGGATTAGGTGAGGCCCCCACCTCATTCATCAAGTGTTCAGCTGTGGCCGAGGCTGAGCTGCTCAAAAGGTGCCAGCAGCATGAGCAGCGGTCAGGCGACTGAAGCTTCGGAACCTGCTGAGTTGCCACATTGCGTCAGTTAAATCGCCCTCGCTAGCGTATCTCGTTAAACGCATTGCTAAAAATTGCAATACGAATCAGGTACGTCTGTGTGCACAATCGACAAGTTCATATCTGCATGATCATGTGGTGCTTGATCAATGCGTGTTACCGTACCGCTTTCAGCAATTCAGCATATGTCAGTGGGAAGCTTGTTCGAGGGCTACACTCTTCCCATGTTGCCATGCAGAACTGGGTAAAGTGCCGTTCCCTGAAAGTTCAAGTTGTTACCCTACACATAAACCGTTATCCCGATCTTTCCTGTGGCATTGAGCTCTCTGGTGACCAGGGTCACAACCAGCATTTAAAAGGGGAAGGAAGTTGGGGCGGGGAGCTCAGGGTGTACACACCATGCCGCGGAGCCATCTATGGTGAAAAATAACAAGATGGGACCCCCTGCCCCCTTTGGCTTTGCTCCTGGTCGTGACTCAAAACTGCGAAAAGCCGAAAGGTTAAAGCAAACAGATGCTCACGCACCCGTCACCCAGTAGACCCAGTTGTGGTAGTACCCACTCAGCATTTCCAAAAAACGCGTGGCACGTAAGTAGCGCAACCATGCCTTCACCGTCTTCTAAAATATTGACGCGCTGCTTCTAGAAACGCGTCATCAAGCGGCGGCAGAAGTACTACTACCACCCGGTGGACTCGACGCCGTTCTCGCTGGGCATCGCTCTGCCCGACCGGTACGGGGACGAGCGCGTCAGCGGCCAGGTGGAGCTGACTCAGGCCGGCAGAAATAGGGAACCGAGTAAGTGTGGACAGCGCCCACAGATGGGGACGTCGTTGTACCTCTACACGCCAGCGGCTGCTGTTTTTCACGGGCGCTGGTAGATGCCTGCGCTGTTTTGTATGATGTGTTGTGCCATGTCGCGGGTGCGTCGGTTTTCACTGCAGTAAATACTGCGAGGTTTTGGAGCCCAGAATATCTGGACTGGCCGGCCTCGGGTGGACTACGGCATTGCGTTGAACATGTGGTTGAAGAACCGACTGACTGTCGGTGCCATGTTGCAGTACTGGATTACCTCGAGGGTCCGAATTGGAGCGTCCACCCAGACTGGGTGTACTGTGAGTACGACAACCAGGACACCGACGCTCATTCGTTTGACACCCCGGAGGATCAATATCGGCATTTCCTGAAGAAGGCCATCTCGACCTCCGGCTTCCAGTGGCGCTCCAAGCGCGTGTACCCGGTGCCGGAGGTCAAGGAGCCCACCGGCCGCTACAGATGTGAGTGTTCTGCCGGCAACCGGCCAGTAGAGAGGAAGCCTGAGAGATAGAGAGATAGCCTGCCGCCTGCCGGCGCTGGGACGTGGCCCCGGGAATCAGGCGATACCTCGCCACTGTTCTGTCCTGCAAACCCCACCTGGCCGGTTTTGATCATCCAGCGTACATGCTACCGGCAGGAAGCTGGTTACAGGTGTGACATTCAGTGTCTGCTGGTAATGTGATTTGTAGCATTGTAATGCCTTGGGCTCATATCTTTGTCCAAATGTTCTAAGCAAGCTTTAAGGTGTAAAAACCACTGAGCTGTGAAGTCGTTCTCGAACGCTTGCACAGCGAAATGCGAAACATGGATGTCATGACTTGCGAGCAAAGCGGTGAGCCGGGTTAGTCCTCTTGAACAGCGAGAATGCTCCCATCTCAAGGGCTGTGGCCAGCCTCAGTCTCCCCCGCCATGTTTTCCCTAAAGGTTTGACGTGGCCAGCCACTGATCGAAAGCGTCGCAAGCCTCATGCAATTTTCAGCCACGAGGAGCGCGGAATTCTGTAAACGCCACACCGTGAAACGCTCTCCGTAGAAATCTGAGTATCTATGGTCAGAGCTTTGGCAGGAATGCAGGTAATTACTCACATCTAGCTTCTACAACGTTGCGTGAGAATAAACTCGACTCTGTGAATATTCCGTAATTTCCGTATCTGGATAGCCACGTCGCAGGGCCTAGATCTGGACGGCCGGTCGCAGGCTCCAGATCCTGGACGGCCGCGTTGCATAGCCCAGACCTGGACGGCCGCGTCGCAGGCTCCAAACTCTGGACGGCAGCGTCGCAGCCTCCAGATCTGGACGGGCCGCGGTCACAGAGGGACCAGACCTGGACGGGCGTTGTCGCAGGATCCAGATCTGGACGGCCCGCGATCGCAGGATCCAGATCTGGACGGCCCGCGTCACAGAGCCCAGATCTTGACGGCCGCGTCGCAGGATCCAGATCTGGACGGCCGCGTCACAGAGCCCAGATCTTGACGGCCGCGTCCCAGAGCCCAGATCTGGATGTCCGCGTCCCAGAGCCCGGATGTGGACTGCCGCGTCGCAGCGAGACGAGACCAACACATTGTGACAGAAGAGAGAACTGTCGGTCGTGTCGACAGCGGCGTGGGTGGCTGTGTGCGCCCCCCCCCCCCCCCACCCCCCTACATTCGATCATCAAACACGTCCGAACGCTCACCACGGATCCGCACGCTTGATGGCATGTGTAAGAACTAATGTTAGCATCGCAAAACTACAAGGAACCTAACCTGAACATGTCTTGCCTTAACGATTTTTTTCTCCCCTTCTTTCAGCTGACGAAACAAGATCAGGGACGTATTTCTGTAAGTGAACACTGTTATCTGGATAGGACGTGTTTTTCGTCCCTTATATGTACCATTGTACTTCATTAGAAAAGGACCGGGTGTGCGAAGCGGTCAGTTTTTACGACCATCGTTTTGCTAACTAATGTTGGGCTCATTGTACACGAGACGGTTTGTCATTTTAGCAAATACGAAAACGCACAAAATGCGGAACCTGCCAATGGAATGACACTATATACCGAGACCTGTTATTGGTCCGGTGACTGCTCGAGTTACGCCCGACTCGCCAGGCCGCGGAGTGATGCCAGAATAAGGTGGCATGCTTTGCTGCGTTTTGAATCGCTTATTTCTGAGATGCATTTGAGTCGTAGGTCAACGTGTCTTGTGTACAATCGGTCATGTACCGACCGAAGAAAAAGTTGAAACGAATGAAACTAAAAAAGTTTCTATGCAAATGTTGATCTTATCAAGTATTTAGGAGTTCTTGCCACGGGCGGAGGCTGCCTAACTCAAAAGACGGTCATCTTTCATGTATTCTGAAGCCAACAGTCGTGACAACATCTAACCGCATCACGCTTTGTTTCAGGCGACCGCGACCTCTTCCAGTCGGTGGTGTTCGACGCCAAGGTCACGCTGTCCTTCAAGCAGGGACAGTCCTCCTCGTGAGTTTGCAGACCTTCCGTGAACTTGATCCCTTGCACAGAATAAGTGGGCCGTCAGTTTGTCACGCTGTCCAGCGTCAGTCACAGCACTCCACCAAAGCACTTGTCGGCACTTCGCAGTGCACTATTTCACCATTCAGTACAGCATGCCGACTGGGTGAGCAATGACTGAGACACGGCCATGCCATCTGATCCTGTTCTGACCACTATGTGTGTGTGTGTGTGTGTACGTGCACCAGTTTGGGCCCCGCACGCTCGTGGCGACGTCTTGGCACTAACCCTCCTGTGCACTCCTAGCAAGCACCCACTCGCGCCTATCGTCGCCCAGATGGCCAGGTACAGTATGCAGTGGACCGGTGCCATCTCGCTCCAAGCGCACACCTAAGATGTCCTCTGTTAGTTGGTGCGATGCGCGAATTCGAAGGACAGTTGATTGTTTGAGAACAGGTGTGAGCTCGTGAACACGGTTGTGACCCACGGTCCGTCCGCCATGTACTCATGAATGTGATCGTTCAACTATACCACCCATGTCTTATACGTGTATTCTTAATCCAATATGCGTTGGTTTTTCTGCAATTTTTGTTTCATTCCCTACGGATATACACATTGCAGGCACGAAGTATACCAGCACTTTTTCGTCAGTTGGAGCTTAGAACAGCATCAAAATTCAAACCGGGATGGACGAGGCACCACTTGCTGCCCAGGTTGATTATGCCAGGCTTCGTGCGCCTGACTTCCTCCAACGGCGTCCGCCTCTGTCGGCCGGTGGCCTCCCACGTGGTGATAGAGTGGGGTGCCTCCATCGGAGCAGCCGTGCTGGTCGCATCATGCCCAGATAGCCATGTGTGGTCCACGCTTCACACCACGCTCAGTGGTGGCTTTTACTTTCATTCCTGGCTCGTGGCGTCGGTGCCGCGGCGGTGAATTCAAGATGCGCCTTATATATTCGAGATCTGCATTTGATCGTAAGGCCAACGTGGACAGCTTGAACACTGTGCTGTTCCGCTAACCGACCGAGCCGTCCTGCACGTGGCGCTCGCGCAGGCCTGGTGCGGAGTGGAGTGTTCACGGCAACATTGGGATATGTCGCGCATATACGGCATGCAACAGCCGACATCGATTTCCAGTTCTGCACGGCTCAGCTCAATCCTGGCCACCGTCATTGTGGCCAGTGCTCACAACCCCTCACTACGGGCGCGAAGCCAAAGCAGTGCACCACCACGGCACCACTCCTGGACAGTTTCCACCAGATGGCGTGCCGCAGCGAATACGAAAGGCGCTCCGGTCGCCGCCGCCGCCGGCAGTGTAGCGCAGCGTGACTGTGGCAAGGAGGCAGCAACCCACTGAGAGTGTCAGCCCGCGGGCTTTGGGCCGGCGCTCCCAAGGTCCTGAGAGAGGAATGCCAGCCGCGCGGATGGCTGCTCGAGTTAGCAGCCTTGCAACATGCGCAAGGGACCATAGGCAATGATGCGGTCTGAAACCGCACAACGTGTGTGGTTTGTTTTCCAGTGCAGCCAGGAAATCATTGTAAGGCTGGTGGCGCGCCTGCTTTGTCTGCCGCTGTAGTGCGGCGGAGCGAGACAGGCGCTGCTCATGGGTACTGTGGCTGCAGCTGTCATGCATACCTTCGGTGCTACCTTCCGGCGCCATGCACAGTTGCACTAGCAGGACTTCGCTTTTGGGTTTCGTGGTGTCTGAAATGGAACTTGCATCGCATCCCACCGACGGCAACGCAGCCACCATCGTTGTGTCCGTAACATTCGCGGCCGTTTTCAGCGCTGGCAGCAGTGGTATCCCCACAGCTTCAGTCTGACGCCGCATGCATGGCTGTTCATGCCACTGCCGCCGACAAGACACCGCCTAACCTGATCCAGAAAGCGACTGTACCGCAAACTGCAGCGATTAAAACCGGCGTGTCGAGGCTTGGTCCGGCCCACGCCGTCTCCAGAGCCTCACTCGTGCCTTACGCTGCAGCGATGCGGTGCAGCCGCGGCCCGGAGCGGGAAGGGCGTGTGTGCCGTGACGTCAGCAGTCCGCCCTGTGGGGAGGGCGTGCATCAGCTGCTGCTCCGTTGCAGGATGGGTCTGTTCCACACATTCGGGGCGGCGCACAGCTTCGTGGCCACCCGCTCGGGCTTCACGCGCTGGAAGACTCACTGGCCCCGAGACATGGATGTCGACCGCGAGGATATGTAAGTATCGCTGCCGCCGGCCGGCCGCGCGCCGCAGCTGGCGTGCTGGTGAGGACGGTGCTGCCATGTCAATAAGCAACGAGCGGCCGACGTTTTAAGGACGTGTGCGTGTTAAAGTACCGTACAGATTAACTCGCTGAGAACGTCGTCTCCGTGTAACATCGTCCGTGTAACACGCTAAGAACGCCGTCATCGGGGCAAGCCGTAGCCACCCGTGGTGTACTGTTTTCGTATGTCCTCGTGCATAGCTGGATCACGCGTCCCATCACACACTGTTGTCTGCATGCGTCCCATTACACACTGTTGCCTGCATACGTCCCATTACACGCTGTTGCCTGCATACATCCCGTCACACAGTGGGATACGCATACGTCAATCACATGCGCACACACTTGCCTGCATACGTCCCACCACGCACTGTTACCTGCATGCGTCCATCACACGCTGTTAACTGTATACGTCCCATCACACACTTTAACCTGCATGCGTCCATCACACACTGTTAACTGCATACGTCCCATCACACGCTGTCACCTGCATGCGTCCATCACCCACTGCTAACTGCATACGCCCATCACACACTGTCACCTGCATGCGTCCATCACACACCATTACCTGCAAATGTCCCATCACGCATTGTTGCCTGCATGCGTCCATCACACACTGTTACCTGCATACCTCCATCACACACTATTACCTGCATACGTCCCATCACACACTGTTAGCTCCATACGTCCATCACGCACTGTTACCCGCATACGTCCCACCACACACTGTTGCCTGCTTTCGTTCGTCACACATTGTTGCCTGCATGCGCCCATCACACACTGTTACCTGCATACGTCTCATCACACACTGCTGCCTGCATACGTCCCAACACGCACTGTTATCTGCATGCGTCCATCACACACTTTTACCCGTACGTGTCCATCACACACTGTTGCCTGCATGCGTCCATCACACACTGTCGCCTTCATACATGCCATCACACACGATTACCTGCATACGTCCCATTACACATGACGCATCAACATCGTTTGCGCTGTGGAGAACTGCTAGATTGCCACTGGCCAAGACCGCCACTGCAGCGGTGCCACCACTGCCTGACCGGTAACTGCGGCTGCCCGATCCGTGACATGCGCCGTGATCGCCTGCGCCGCGCCGTCCTGCGCCGTGTCTCATGTCACGCCGCCGCCGGCCCTCCGGCAGGAAGTTCAATGGCGTCCGTGCCACGGACGAGGTTTGGTACAAGCGGGCCGTCGATTACCACGACCACGACCCGACCGCGTTCGTGTACTCGGTACCGTTCGACGCCGGCCTGCGCAACGAGTCGCTGGTGACCGGCGCGCAGGCGCTGTTCCTGCGCAAGGGCAGCAAGCGCACGCCGGCAGCCGTGGTCGGCATGCAGTTCCTGCACTCGCGGTTCCGCGAGAAGTTCCTCTCGACGGCCAACGTGAGTGACAGCCGGACGCGGAGGTGGGAGCGATGCGGCACGCCATCTTGGTTGAGATGGTCGTTTGATCGCCTGTTAAGCTCGGCCTCGTTCAAGTCCAGCCCTGGAAAACTGGTATTGTGATATATGCCGCGCCTTAAAGCGCCGTTGACATGCTTTGGTGTGGCGATTAGTTTGTGTCATGGATGTCCTTTCGTGGATTATGTGGCAAGCCTTGTTGTCCAGGGGGCTGGGCGGTGTCCTGTGTTGTGTACTATGTTCTGGCCGGTGTGCTGTCGTCGCCGGGTCGTCCGTGACCGGACGCCTCTGACCGGCCCCGGACATTGTCCGCAGTGTCCTGCGCTGGGCAACTGCTCGCAGACGTGCGCCTCGGACGACCTCGACTGCTACCTGCTCGACGACTCCGGCTTCGTGGTGGTCTCCAAACGGCACGAGGAGACGGGCCGCTTCTTCGGCGACGTCGACGGCACTGTCATGAACGCTCTGCTCAACCACAACGTGTACAGGCGCATCACCATGTTCGACTACCAGGGCGTCTGTCTGGACGTCGTGTCCACCGGCAGCTCGGCCTGGACTCTGCTGACGGTTAGCTGACCTCCTCGGCGGGAAGTTATCTGACGACAAAGCTTGTGCTAAGCATTGACGCTGTTTACCGATGCTTTTGCGCTCATAACGCCATCTGCCTTGAACTGCTTCGCTGTGGAGTCACCTGCGGAGAGCGTTCGTGTTCACGTTGAAGGGATCTGCCCAGAACTGTTTGTCATGTCTATCGTGAAATCGTCTCTCCAGCACTGACGTGTCCTCGGTGAAGCTGCTCGTGAAGCTTGCGAAGCTGTGTTCCATGCCGCGGCCGCCCTCGTCGGCGGGCCGGCTGGTCGGCACGGCATCACGCCGCGTGCTGTGCCGAACGCCGCGGCTGACTGCCTCTGTGCCGGGGCCGGCAGCCGCTGCGGTATCTGCAGTGGTTCGCCAGCTGGCTGGGCGGTAAGATGCTCTGGCTGCTGGTCCAGTCCAACCTGCTGCACCTGCTCGACATCAACCTGGCGTGGGCCGCCGAGACGGTCGTTAACGACAACATGGGTGAGCGCGGCCCATCGGCCGGCTGTCGTGCCGTGCCGGGCATGGTGTCAGCGAGCTGCGGGGGTTACGTGTCGTGTCAGTTGAGATGAAGCGGTGCTCACGAGCAGTTTGTCTGTCTCTAATGCCGCTGGTGTTTGCAAGCGCTGCTACGTGGGTTTACCCTGCAGTTCACTTACTGGAGAAAAGAGGAACTTAATGCCCCTCTTGTTCATATCGAGTATTCCAACATCTAATTCCCGCGCACTGCATTTGCTGCGTGCCCAACGTAAACCAGTCTGCCTGGTAAGGGCTGTGTGTTTGGGTCGACGGCTGGTCCGGAGACAGACGGTGGTGTGACCGCCCTCCAGATCACGGAGCCGGCGGTGACGGCGACGCCATGTACGACTACGACAGCAAGCACACCTGTGTCCAAGTCGCCGACAGCCATCAGCTCTTCAAGATGGCGCACATCAACAAAACGCGACCGCGCCCATGCGACAAGCATGTCGGTCTGTACACGCTCAACCACAACACCAAGCCGCTCAAGGCCTCGCTGGAGCACTGCTACGGTATCGACAGCAGTTCGTGTAGCAGGTGCGTGGAAGATTTTATGGAATCGGTGCTACGTGACGAGTCAGCTAGCTTCTGAGACGGGTAACTACCGTTCGGTTTTTCGTCTTGTTTTTAGCATATGTGTACCGGCTTAATATTATCCAGATGTAACTATGTCTGTATGCTCCCGCGTAAGGACACATAAATCACACGATGTTGCTGGTTAAGTAAACTCCGCGATGTGACTGCCTTCGATCGCGGGGCATCGCGACCAGCCACTGCCGCGAGGCTCGCCGCTCCTTAGTCTTGCTTAGCCGAGCCCCACGCGCTTTGCTCGGGCTGCCTTCCGGCTGTCGGCCAGCCTCGCCTATGCTGAGTCCGGCCACCGCCTGCGTCCGCAGGCAGTTTGTGCTGGAGAAGGTGCCGTACACCAACCTGATGATGCTGGTGGTCAACACGCTATGCCCGTGCGAGGGAGACATGATCTCGATCGAGGCGCACGAGTGGGAGTACGAGAACGGCACGCAGTGCGCGCGGGAGCGGCTCGAGCCGTACCGGAGGCGGCCACAGTCCTGCCAGAGCTACCACGCAGAGGTGAGTGTTGCCACGCTCGCGGCCGCTTCCTCAACGCAGACTTGCGATCCCGTTCTTCCATGACTGAGAGACAGAGACGCCAGCTGGAAGGCACGGACGCGAGTCTGTCACACTGACACGGACTCTCTGTGCGCCTGCTGCAGGCGCGAGTCCGTCACACTGACACGGACTCCCCGTGCGTCTGCTGCAGGAGGAGAACATCGACATGTGTGGCAGGAGCGGCGCGACGCGGCTCGTGCCGCTGGCCGTCGGCTGGCTGGCGCTGCTGGCGCCGCTGGTCCACCGCTGGCTGCCGACGTGAGCGAGCGCGGCCGGCCCGGCCGGACGGCGGAGCCGGGGACGCCGCAGCGCGCGGCGCCGCTCGCCGGCACGCGGCCGGCTCGTGTGAGGCAGAGGCGGCGGCGGTAGGGGAGCCCGCGACGCGACCGCCCGGCGGGAGCTCGGCGGGCCGCCGCCACGCCGGGAGAGGCGAGGCCTGCGTCGGCGGCGTGGCTGCCCGGCCGCCGCACGAGCGGCCGGGTCGGCCCAGCCTTGCTGAGCGCGTCCTTCCCTGCCTGGCGCTTCGTCCCCACCCAGCTGCTGTGCTACGCGCCGCCGGAGGCGCTGAAGGGTGTTTTCCGTTTGATATTAATACGCTGTAGTGATCCGACCGAGATTACCTGTACATAGACCGCGCGTTCGTACCATGGTAAGGTTTACTTGTTCTGTTGTCGTTGCTGCAGGCGCAGCTTGCACCGAGCTGTGTGAGGACAGCGAGCGCCTTGACTCGGATGCGTGGCGGCGCAGTGAGGCCGCGCCGCTGCAGTGACCCCGTGCTGGTCACTGCGGCCGCCATAAACCCATTCCCCGTGTGACAGTTAGCTGGCTGGTGGCGGATGTCCGCCGCCGGCCGGAAGGTGGCGGCGGCGGCCCCAAGAGGAGCGGTGCGGCGGACCAGAGCGCTGTCTTCCCCCCGGGCGCCCGCCGGCGGTGCCGACTGCGAAGCCCGGCTGTCATCGGTGGACGTCGGCGGCGGGTGGGCGGTGTTGGGGCGGCTTGTGTTGATTCGCTGGCGGAGCGCTGGGCCGGCGACTCCCTGTGCCCGACTCCGGGTGCTGCCTGGCGGTGGGTCGGGGCGGCTCGGCGCGGTGCGGCAGGCTCGGTCGGCGTCTCCCGGACGCTCGGACGGTCCGGGACGGCGCGGCCCGCAGGCCCGGTCGGCGTCTCCCGGACGCTCGGACGGTCCGGCACGGCGGCCACTTCGGGGCCGCTCGCGGCACGATCGGTGCGCGCTCGTGCAATAGCGTCTAGCGATCTCAGCCTGGTCGGCGATATCTAGTCGGGGGTCCTGTCTTCCAACTTAGTGCCTCGTGTGTGAGGAAGGTCATGTTTCGGGCTCCCGCGAGTGGACCTTCCGAGTGATAATGCCCTTTGTTTTCTAGAGGCGGCCGGGCGGCGGAGAAGCGTCGCGCCCGGCGGCGCCCGGTCCGTCAGCCGGTCTAGCGCTGGTCCGTGTCAGCGTGTATACTCTCAGGCGCGCAGCTAGTGGACGCGTGCTCGGTGCGGGGCGGGTCGTGCCCCGGATGTGGGGCTGGAGTGCGTGAAGGCGTGAGGCGTCCGTATTCCTTCAGCGGATAAGAAAATTATCTAGGATGTGATAAATGTTGAAGAGGATTTATCTAGACATCTGTGTACTTTCTACTTCTAAGGAGTCGGGTAGGCCGATTTTGTATGTGCTTTGTAATCATTTGCTTTGGGGTTCGATCGACATTGACCCTTTGCTAGACGTGCTTCATCCGGGATTTTGACGAAGATAACAGTGATCTGTGGTGTAGTGTTTCCTTTCCCTATATTTGTATGTCTGCCACCTGGTATGGCTGGAACAGCCCGTCGGGACCGCTGTTAATACCACCCAAAACCATGTTTTTATCGTCGCCAACTGCATGCTCCAGTTCCTGCTCCGGTCTGCTGCTTACTTAATCAATACACGCCAACCTATGGTTGCTGTCGCCTCTGCGAACTGCAAGCTGTAGGTCTGGTACGCTACAGAGTACTGCGTGGACAATGTGTGGCTCAGTGCGGCCGCATCGAGAGCTGATGGTCATCCGGTGCGGATCGGCGTCCGATCAGCACCAACGGTATCAGAGCTCTTCACTCGCAATGCCTTGGCTTGCTCACCAAGGTATGTTTTTATCCAGTTATCCAGACGTGCATAGCATGCTAAATGACGTTGAATGGTTCTCAAAATGACAGTCATGGCAGTTTGATGTCCCGCAGCCGTTGATCCCCATGAAGGATGGCTATTAGCATCACAGGCTGTTGCGCCGGTTGCAGTCTTGCGCCACGTGAACCAAACGAAACAGGCTATCGACGAAGACATCTGTTTACTCCCAGGACCCCGCTGCCGTACAAGATATCGGAAAAGCTCCACAACGGATCGCATGAAGCTCGGCAATCCGTGACACTTGTGATCGTCGCCGTCTCTAATTCAAACGCCTGGACGCAGAGTCGCGCCAAACACTTTGTCCGGACGACCTTTTGAACCGGCGGCGGGTCTGTCAAAACACGCCGTCTGGCTGCACCAGTAGAGCACCGCGGCTTCGCACCGCGCATTAGCGCTGCGGCGGCGCTCCACACGGGACGGGGCGTCACGCGGGGGCAGACCACTCCTTCAGGGTACGTGGCGTCTGGTGGTGGGATGGGCGTGTAGACCTGTGTGGAATCACGGGTCGGGGACGTCTTCACGAGGTGAGCTGCTTCTCCCCGCCCAGCGTTCCACGCCAGCCAGACAGCAGCCCGCGCGCGGTGGCGCTTTCCACGTGCGTGGCCGCTCAGGTGGAGCTGGAACTGACCCAGCGACTCCGCTGTGCTCTTGTGACCTCTGTGCTCTTGTGAGTCAGCCTGACGGACCTGCACACAGCTGCGGGTGACGGAGCGCCGTCCTCGCTCGGCCCGCGGCGCAGCGCGACATGGTTCGGTGGTGGCCGGCTTGGGCGGCGCTGCTGTGCGTGCGGACGCTGGCCGCGCCGCCCTCGCTCGCCGAGTTTTTCCCGAGCACGGCGGCCGACCTGAGCCGACTGACAGTCGTCACGGGCATCGCCGGCCGGCTGCAGCTGGAGCGGGCGCTGCGTCTCGCCGTCCGCCGGCCGGCCGCGCCGCTCATGCTGGCCACCTCCGTGGGTGCCGGCTTCCTGTTGGGCCGGCTGCACGGCGACACGGTTGCCGGTGGTGAAGCGGCGTGACGCGCGCTTCTCCGACCTGGCGCTGACCGAGCTGCTCGACCTGGTCATCGCGCGCTCGGCGGCCGCCGGCGGCGGCGTGCGCGTGGCGCTCAAGCTGGAGCTGACGGGCGTGGGCGAGGTGGCTGCCGTACTGCCCGTGCTGTGCGCCCGGCTGCCCAACGTCAGCTTCCCGGTGTGGCTGGCGGCCGAGGTGCTGCCGGGCCCGGTGCGCACGCGGCCGCGCGCCGGCAACAGCAGCGCTCTGGTGGCGCTGGCCACGCGCCGCTGCCGCCGGCCGTCACTCTCTCGCTCGCCTGGTGGACGCGCTTCGTGCCGGAGGAGGCGGGCGTGTACTCGTGGTCGGCCGTGCGCGCCATGCGTCGGCTGGCGGCGCCGCTGGCCGGCCGGCACGGCCCGGCGCTGGCCGTGCGCGCCTCGTTCCTGCGCGGCGCCAGTCTGGAGCGGCTGCAGTGGCTGCTGCTGCGGCTGCCCAACAGCACGCTGACCGTGTTCAGCGGCGGCGTGGACCGGCAGCCGACCGAGACCGTGCACTGGCCGACGGTGGTGGCGCTGCGGCGCACCGTCGGTGCGCACCGGCTCCTCTTCGAGCTGCACGCGCCGCTGTACCGCCAGCTGGCGCACGCCCTCTGCCGCTACGCTGACGAGTGTGACGCCCGACCACGGCTGGAGGGGGCCGACGAGGCCGGCGCGCCTCAGCCGGCCGCCGCTCATCTCCGTCTCATCGCACTCCTGCTGGCGCTCGGCTGGATCGCCCAGCCTGGCGGGCTTTAGTAGCCGGCTCACTGTCGACCACTGAAGCCCGCGAGTCGCTGTACACTTTCTCGCGCTACCTGTGAGGCATGCGGAAGCTTCGTGTTTGAGCTAAGCGGCCTGAAGGTGGATCAAGTCATGTCTCCCTCACAGGAGCGCCCAAGCCTCGTTAAAATGTATCGCCGATCACGGCAGGCTTTAGTGGCGTGTCATTGTTGAGTGTTGCGTTGCTGCACAATCACCCTCGCTATTCGTGTGAAAAGCTTAGCGTCTAAGCTAGGTGACGTTCATGTGGATTTGAATAATCACGCTTCTAGAGTCACTGGCATGTGACATTCTTGCAGAAAATATGTTTTCTACGAAAATGCAGGTTGATAAACCGAGCCAAGCGGGCATTATTTCCAGGTAGCAGGTCAGGTTACAGCGGTGTAGTGCTACGAATCCTGAGTGGCTAAATCGAAATGAATTGCTACACGAGGCTTAATATGAATGTATGTACATGAAGTCACATTGATGCCATCACGCGAAAAATAGCCACCTACACCTGGATGCGTGAGGATGTATTGCCGATGTTTACGCCCGTAATCTTGCGGCTAAGATCGCGGGTGGCAGTTATGTTTGCCCACCGATGTCCTGATGCGGTATTTTAAAGTTTTATCGATTGTATTGCTCCAGCAAACAGTTAGTGTCCGGAATTTCACTGGAGCATACATCACTGACAAATACAAGCACAAATATGAATGTCCACGTCACGATTCAGATCATCAGCCATCGATTTGGTATTAGAAAATCAAATGCAACTACTTAAGATGGTCTCCTTGCAGCTTCCCTTTCCCTTATCCGCTTCTAACCCTGCCTTAACCAACCCCAATTTCTAATCTCCTTTTCCTTACCCTAATATATTACGGCCTCTCGCTCCTGATCTTTCTGTTCTGCCCAGCCCCCTCCTGGTCTTCTATGATCTGATGTAAGCTGTCCAATCGCGTCCAATTCCTCCTGGTTCGGCCATATGTGGCACTTCTAACAATATACCGTCGGGTTTTTGTGGGCCAACGCAAGACCTCTTTTCTCCTCTCGACGGACCTTAAGCCGCATTCGAGAGGGAAGTTTACTTCCGTCATAAGGCCAGGCAAGGATTACGTTCAACCGGCTTATGCTGTCCGGCGCAAAGCAAGGGAGAGGGTATTTTGAAGTGACGTTACGATAACCTGTCTCATTTTTGCCCAGCAAGATCATAGCAAGTAAAGCAGACCGCAGCAATATATATATATATATATATATATATATATATATATATATATATATATATATATATGTATTATCACGACACAGCACACATTCAGTATGCTTGAACGACGAGTGAGCCTCTTCACCGGCCCTTCCACCAGACTCCTCGGGTGCCGCGAGTCCTGTGTGTGGTGTCTGTGTTGGCGGTGGCCTTGGCTCAGCTGACTTGTCGGCGACCTGTGCGATATATAGATGTCGGGCCGCTTCATTGCCGCGACGGGGAGATCAGTCCCGGGCTCCGCTGCCCGGCACGACCTTTTAGCGCTGTGTGGTGTTTTTGAGCTCTGGAAAATCCGAACTAGGAAAAAACGGGACTCCTAGCCAATGGGGAAAACCTGCAACCTTTGCCAAATCATGCAGGAAACCCCTTTTCTTGAAGTTAAATTATCTAGTCCTGTACTGTGTAAAAACTTCAAGAGGCGAGGGAGCAAATCAGAATAAGAATCACTGAGGAGAGAATGGAGGTTGAATGGAAGCCGATTAGCGTTGGTGTAATTGATGAGCGGTTGTCTTGATCGTTGATATACCGGACACACGAGGAGGAAGTGATTTATTGTGGATGGGATCTGGCAGCGATGACACAGCGGACGAATGTGCTCGAAAAGGTGGTAGTGGGTGATTTTGGTGTGACCGATACGCAGTCTGGCAAGCATCACTTCCTTGAGGCGATTATCTTAATTAATTGCCGGCCAGTGCTGAAGTATTGGTTTGGTTGGGTCATGGTGTTGATGAGCGCGTTGATCCCATTTGGTTTGGAGAAAGAGACGAAAATGTAAATTGATGACTGCAAGGATGTCAGAAACAGGACAATGAAGATGATTGCGTTCCGGAAACATGAGACTTCATTTTGCTTCCTCGTCAGCAGTGCTGTTTCCATGAATATTTGCGTGTCCAGGTATCCAGAGAAATATCGCGTGAGTTTGTAGAGGAAGGGAGCAGAGCGCTCGTCGTGCGCCGTTTAGAACTGAGTGGACTCAATTATATAGAGTGATGAGAGATTCTAATGATGAACGGGAGTCGGTGCATATGACTGCCCTTTGTAGGCTACCTTGCTTGATGTAAAGCGGAGCTGCCAGGATTGCTGTTAGTTCAGCCGTATACACAGTACTCTGATTTGACAGACGGTTTGATTTGTGGTAATTATGATGTACGAAGGCAGCTTCTGTGCGGCCATCGCGTCGGGAGCCGTCATTATAAATAAAAGCGTGCTGGTCATGTTCTCCTTTGAATTCAGGCAAGCGTGCACGCACTCCGGTTTCTGAAACGTTTCGTTTTTTGTGTTTAAACAGAAAGATCACACTAGGTATAGGGTCGCCCCAAAAAGGTCGGGGACTGGGCGTTGGGCTGCAGGGGATGTCTGGGAGATTAAGCGCTCGTTGCGCTCGAATAACGCGAGTGCTGGTGGTTGGATGCTGGAGTCGCGCGTTGGTAAGTGTGCGGTTGGGGCGGAGGTGTGCGAGGGCGTTGTATGCGGGGTTACCAACGTGCGCTGTGGCTCTTGCATAAAATCTGAGAAGTTGCAATTTTCATCGGTGTGATGGGAGGGGATATTTGTGTCCGCGAGCAGAGTTCAGACCGGGGTGGTCCGAAGTGCACCAGTCACTACGCAGAGGGCTGCGTTCTGGATGGTCTCCAAGGTTTCTACTTTTTTGAAAGAAATATCATCAAAAAGAGTCATTTTAGTCCAAGATCGGGCGTATCAGGGAGGTAGAGAGGTGGAGGAGAGCGCGCCTGTCGGAGCCCCACTCCCGTCCTGCTATGCATTTCACTATGTTCACTCGTCTGGGGTAGCGTTGCTTAAGGTCAGCAAAATGAGCATTGAAAATAGACGGCGATCTAATTTTATTCTAAGATATTTAAAAGTGTAAGCTAAAGGGATTAGCTCACCATTAAGATTCAGGTGGTGGGGGTGGGACGTTGAACATGATCTTGCCTAGAGAAGATAGTTACAGCTTACTTCGCGGGGGAAATCTGCCGTCCCCATCGTGTGCACCACGCGTGAATATCATTTATAGCTGATTCTATACAATGCAGTACGTGATCAACATTAGCATGTGTATGCCACACAGGCAGGTCGTCCGCGTATAGAGAATAATGAAAATGTGGAGAAATGTTATTAATATTATTGAAAACATCGTTGGTCATTACAAGGAAGAGGGTTGAGGATGAGACGCTATCCTGAGGAAGATCGTGATCATGCGCCGTCGGAGAAGAATTAGTATTTCCGCAACGCACAGAAAACGTCCTATCAGTTAGCAAGTTTTTAATGAAAGCGGCGAGCCAACCGCGAACTCCGATTTCATGTAGTGTAATGAGGAGGGCACTTGTAGTTACCCTGTCGAAAGCGGCCTTTAAATCCACGACGGGTGCTACCGTACTTGATTTATTCTGAAATCCGAGCTAAATTGAATCTATAATGCGGACCAGGCTATCCGCCGTGGAGCGGCCGGGACGAAAGCCGTTCTGTAAAGGTGAAAGCACAGCTGGTAAGCGAGATGGGGCGATAGCTCGAATGGTCAGAGGAAAGCTTAGAAGGATTAAGCATAGGGATAAGTGTGCTAGAGTGCCATGAGGGAGGGAACGATTCATTACCCACATATCGTTAAAAGCCGACAGAAGATTGGCGTGTCCAGACCTAGTGAGATAATTTAAAAAGGGGCAGGCTAACTGGTCTGAACCGACAGAAGTGTTTCCACGCTAACTAGTCGTAAGGTCTGATTTATAGGGTGCGAAGAGTACGCTGAATGTCTCAGTGTTAGCAGGCGCGAAGCTGAGTGCGGGCAGCGCGGTGTTGAGTGTGGTAGTGATCTGTTGGGAATGCTGTTCGGATGATCACACACGGGTGAAGTGTGTGATCATGGCTGAAGTGCGGCAAATTTGTGGCGACTTCGAATAGGAGTCTGTAATGTTGATTGCTGACTACAAGGTGCTGGGTTTTATAATGCGGCGTGCGTTTGTTTGTGAAACACCAAATCAGTGACACTATTTTAGACGGGGGGGGGGGATAAAGCGATTGAACGCACTTGAAAATTGCTCTCAGCTTTCCTGTTTCGCGCGTTTAATGATTAGATCGGCTTGATGTTTAGGTCTGCGAAACTCCCCTCCATGAGCTATGCAAATGCAACTATGAAAGGCACGCATAGTCCGACGTCGCAGGGCTACTGCGTGCTGACACTCATCGTTCCACCAGGATGCATGTTTGGTGCCCTGGTCGACGGTGAGTGTGTGGAGCCAACTGGTGCGCTGAGGCTAAAATATTGTTAAGAGATGCAGGGAGACGGGAGTTGAGCCTGGAAGGTGTGCCTCATCAATATACATTTGGAAAGATGCCCATTCCGCTCTGCGAGCATCCCATCGGGGAAGACATTTAAAGTCTACTTGCCTTGATGGGACCGTTAAATTGGTGTGGATTGGGCAGTAATTACTAAAAAAGGGGTCCTATTGAACATTGTGTGTAACGAGTGGTGCTATACGTGGTGTTGTCAAGGCTAGATCTATGACAGAGTATGTCACTGTGCCTCCGTGGTGATGCGCATGCGTAGGTGTCAGTTCGTTGATACATATGAGGACGTGAGTGTCCATGAGTGTGTGTAAAACTCTCCCCCTTGGTTGTGTCGTTTTACAACCCCATGCGCGATGATGGGCGTTCAGATCCCCAAGAAGGAGGCAGGGCGAGGAAATTTGTGCGAGTAAGGCGGAGATATAAGCTGAGCAGACAGTGTTAGTGGGGCTAAGGTAAATAGAAAGAAGGGTAAGATCTAACTGCTAATTTTACGTTTATTGCAACTGAATTGAAATGAGTATTAAAATGAACTTGACGATGCAAAAGGTTATTTGAGACAAACAAAGCCGAACCGCCTCGGCGCGGGGTTTCGTTTATGTATGTGAGTAGAGGCATTTACCATTGATCTTAAAGCTATAATCAAAAGAATCCGAATCGTTAGATAAGGTCTCTTAAACGGCAGCTATCAATGTTTTGTCTTTAATCATACATTTCTTGAATTCTGCCCATTGGGATACCAGATATCTCGTATTGCATTGGAGCAAGAATTCATCGACCTGGGCATTCATTTAGGGAAGGGAGGGAGACCATCCAGCGGAGCGGCGGTGAGAGAGCGGTTGAAGGGAGCAGCGGCGGGAGCGTGTAACGGGTCGGGCTCGGCGATCAAGTGAAGGGCTGGCCGAGGAGGTTAGTGTCGGGGGCGCGGCGGCTGGAACATCGGACGGGACTTCTAGGGACGCCGGTACGGGTGGGGTGGGGGTGGGGGGTGGGGGGTACGGGTGGGGGGCTCAAGCCGATCATTCATCGAAACTTTTGAAATCCGCGGGCGTTGTGTAAAAAACTTATTTGTCATGAGTCGAAACAGCTACCGGAAAATCTACATTTATTAACAGAACCTACTCAGGCTGATTGTCGTTCCGACTCCGGTGCATTCCAGACCCTGGTTCGGGCAGGTCGGGTCCGGTCGGGTCCAGTCGATTGGGTCCGGTTCGGTCAGGCCCTTGCTGGTTTTACCTCAGCCCCTGACGAATAGATATCGCATCCGTATGAAGTGATTTACAACCACACCTGAGCGTAACGTCACACTGCAATTTCCCCATGTTTACCTTCTGACGCTTTTGTTACGCCCCAACATCGCCCCCCCCCCCCATGCGCAATGGGTTTATGGACGACCGGTAGTTTCTTCCCAAGTTGATATATATATATATATATATATATATATATATATATATATATATCGATGTTTATATCGATGTTTCTTCGATGCTATACTTCATCGGTGTTGGGCGATGGGCAATTGGCTGTCGCTAAAAATATTTTAAGAAATTGGAAGCTCTAAATTCCGGTTGCTTTGTATTTTTATGGAGCCTGACGACCTTGGAACCTGAAGAGCGTTATGTTGCTTTGGAACCTGAAGTCTGGATCTCGGCTCGTGTGTATTTTTTAAAAAATTGTTAATGACTTGGACTGTTTAGCATGTTTGCAATGTCTTTGTGGCTTAGGGTTTAAGCCTTTTTGGGACGTAGCCGCAAACTGGCATAAACAGCACTCTATGAATGTATATGACGAAGACAAGCTGTGCCGTCGGCTGTGATTTAAGCTGTGCTGGGGATTGTTCATGCCCTTCCACCCATGATATGCATTTTAGTGATGGGAGGACCATTCTGGTTGCTTGGTAAATTTTGTTCTGAGCCTTTTTCTACACCTATGTATAACTATGACCGATAGCTGTTCATGGCGCATGGGAGACAAATCTGGGGGTTAAGAAACAAATGGAGAATCCTCCTGGGTGGTTATCGGAAAGATAATTATTCGTTGAATCGATTTCACTCCGCCGAACGCGCCCCTGGTGACCCATATAGTCGTGAATGGCATAGTTAGCTCTATCTGTGCGTCAAGTCCCTCCGATTGGTGAGTAGACTGGGAGTGACACGTGTGGGCGAGTGTGTGATATCGACCTATAATAGCTTGAGCGTTCTTACAACGCAGTACTGTCGGAAACGGGTGGGCAAGGCGGAGAAATTGGTTGATTTATTGTCGTGGCGTAAGTTTTATTTTTAGACTTGGAACTTGATATCACCCCAGGCCCAGAAGGCTCCAAACCTTGCTTAGATTGGCTTTAGCATCGCACCCAATGCAGCTGCTGTGTAGGCCTGGTATGAATGTCCTTGTAATGTGTGATTGGTGTTTAATTGGGATTCATATCTTTAAATGTAAATGCGCTGTATCTCTATCCTAGTAAATAAAGTATGCTTAATTTTTTGTGCATTGTTTCCTGTTAAATATGGTAATGTAAGTGCATGAAGAAGCCTCCCATGACATATGTTCCATATGGCAGGGAAGGCATCAAAATTTGATGTTTTGATGGAGTGCAGCTAAAGCATTACATGAAGGGTTTTGGACAGTGGAACAGTATTTCAGGTGTGGTCACTTATCATAACAGAATATTGATTAAAGCACTAAAACTTTAAAGTCAGATGACATTGTCCTTCTCTTATGATAAATAACATGTCTGTTTGTACTCCTGGGTCATTTGGAGACAAGGCAGACTTAAACCTTTGGGAAAAAGGCTTATCTTAGCACCAGTCTTAGAAGGTCAAAGTACTGTGTCAGATGTCCATGCAACATTGGTGCTCTGAACTTTATGCCCACATGAGCCAAATTCAGGTCAGCTTAAATTGTGCTGAATCATCTTGAGTACAGCGCTGTAGTTGTGTGTGTTGAAAACAGCAGACATTCAATATATCATCAGCCATCTTGAGTTATGCTTAACTCAGTTTACTTATGGATGCATGCAGTGCCTTGAAATTTTTAGCATTCTGACATGTTTTAATGGCATTTTGGTATTTTTTGACTAGAATCTGGTGGTTTTTTTGAAGGTCAGCTATGTGGAATCACTTAAGAATACCAGGCCAGGCCTATTTCAAATTGTGTTTTTAAGCAGAGCTCAGTTCTGCAGGACCCAGCTCTGTTCTCATTCTGTCTTGTCCTCTGCAGTCCTGCCCAGTTCTCCAGCATCAGCTCCTTGTAGTGTGATACTGGCCACCATTGCCATCCATCATCACATGTATCATGACTTCATTTTTTGTGGGTTTGTGGAGGGCTGGGACATTGATATGCATTATAAGTGTGTTGTGCTTCCATATGGTGGGCAAAGATATACAGCTGCTTTAATGTTTTTTTTTTTGTTATACCAGCCATATTCTGATATCCATATTGTGAAGTTGTAGGCAGCACTCCTAGAAAAATTATCTGGTACCTTTTCATTTTCTGTCCCAGATTCCATGGTGCAGCAGTAATGACAAGAGCCAGTAGCTTGTTGCCAGTCTTATTCTCCCTGATGTGTCATAAGTTGAAGCAGTTTGTAATCTTCTCACATGGGTACTTTGTCAGATGTGACTTCTGTGATGGACACCAACTGATATGCCTTTTCTCATCATTGCACCAAGTATTGCATAGCTTCAGTTGTCACCACTTCCTGCATAACCTCTGTTCTGCTAGTGAATTTCAGCTCTGTCCCATCATCTGTCAGTAGGCTGTGCAGACCATACTACCAAAGCCCTTGCATCTGTTTCTTTTCTTTTTTATGCTGCTGAGGTGTTGGTAGAGACAAGAGCCTCTTCTTATCACAAGTAAACTCAGGGATTCAGAGAGAGGGTGGAGGAGGTTCTCCCTCCCCTGCTCCCAGGAATCAGTGGGATTGTTTCATCTGGTTGGGCTGAAAGCCTTCTTGCTTTATCAGTGCCATGCAGGTTTGATTAGTTTTCTGCCCCCCAATGTTCAACCACATCCAGGCCCAATTGGGGGGGGGGGGGCCAACACTGCACTGGAAGGTCAGGGTTGAAGAAGTGGCCAATGCCCCACACACTGCCACCTGTTACCAGGGAGAACCTTTCCTGTCAGGATCTGGGTTCAGCGCCGCAGTCGCAGGATTAGTTCAACCCCTGAATGCAGGCCAACCAGCAGGGAGCAACTCATTACATGAAGGCTGGGGAGGAGTTGAAGGATGGAATGTGGGAAAATGGGTGATGGGGAGGGGGCAGAACAATGTGGATGGGTTCAAGTTTCTGCAGTTATTTTTCCCTTAGATGAAAAATTGTGACAACTGGAAAGTGAGACTTGCACCGGAGCTAGCACTGACAGCTGTGTTCAGTGCAAAACTAGTGTTTCACCACTGTGTCTTTGCAGGCTTGCATCCAAACAGCAATGGCCTGTCTGACTCGTCTGCTGCGGTCGGCCTGTGGTGGTCTGGCTCCACCGTGGGGTCCGCTGGCTACCTTTGCTAAGCAGGGTAAGGAGGGTGGGACTCATCTGGCACCAGCGAGCTGTTTGTGAACCGCTCTCCACTGCTCAGTCGGATGGAGCCATGTCCGAGCGTGTGCTGCTTGTGCTCTTTCCGGACGTTTGGGTAGTTTGCTTCCGACAATTGACGTGCCATTTGGCCTTGACTGGCGCGTCCGGTTGTGGTTTCACCGGCCGAGCTGTGTTGTTACCGTGTCGACCGCGCCGCCCAGGCCCCGTTCTGCTGGCTGACGCGGCCCGACCGTCGGCAGGCGGCCCCGCCAGCCGCCAGGTGCGCCGCGCCTCGCTGGTCGGCGCCACCGTCGACCGGCAGCAGGAGCTGCTGCTGGACGAGATGTGCCTGCTGGTGGACGAGCGCGACCGGCAGGTGGGCGCCGCCACCAAGCGACAGTGTCACGAGTGGCGTCAGGGAGGCTGCCCACTGCACCGCGCCTTCAGCGTCTTCCTGTTCGACTCCCGCGATCGCCTGCTGCTGCAGCGCCGCTCGGATGTCAAGGTGAGCGCCGCCGCCGCCGGCCCCTTGTCGGTGCGCAGCGGCCGGCACTCGCCCTGTTGGGACCCGCCAAGTTGCAACTTATGCACACTGCTTTAGTCATTTCAAATGTGTTTTCTTGACGACTGTCCCTGTAGATGGTCGCTCAAATGTAAAATGATGCTCGTTTTCATGTCACGGAGACGGGATCATTTGCAGCGAGTGCAGTTTGCCTGCTTTTGCATGCTTCAAACCCAGAGTATCAGTGCAGCTTAACCCCGTGCGGGGCTGGCTAGTCTTCCTCCAAGCTGTGACTGGCGACGCGTGAGTTACCGCTTGTGCTCGAACCTCACCCGCCCCCGTCTGCGCCGCTTCAGATCACGTTTCCGGGCAGCTTGACCAACACGTGCTGCAGCCACCCGCTGGCCGTACCGGGCGAGACAGAGGGCGCGGACGGAGTCATCCGCGCCGCCCAGCGCCGATTGGCCGTCGAGCTGGGCATCCAGCCTGAACAGGTGAGGGTCGCGCTCGTGCCTGAAGGCAGCCGCTACCCAGCGGCCGCCGTCGAACCGTCCGAGTCGTGCTGCCACCGCTCACGCGACAGGCAATGCTGAATGCTGCCCCGGCTGAGCGCATCGCTCTGCTTCGGTTGGTGGGGGATCAGTGACGCTCCGAATTCAGCTCTGTTGGTCGGTGCTGACGCTCCGGCCGCCGGTGGCAGGTGCCGGAGTCGGCGTTCCAGTACCTGACGCGCATCCACTACAAGGCGGCCTCGGACGGCGGCGTGTGGGGCGAGCACGAGATCGACTACATCCTGGTGGTGCGCGGCGATGTGCGACTCGAGCCCAACCCCAATGAGGTCAAGGACGTGCACTACGTGGCGCGCCCCGAGATGGCCGGCTTCCTGGCCGGCATGGAGCGCGCTGGCGTCGAGCTGACGCCGTGGTTCAAGCTCATCACCGACACCTGGCTCATGCGCTGGTGGGAGCACCTGGACGACCTCAAACAGTTCGAAGATCATGATACCATACACCGGCTGTAGGCGGCCGGCGCCGCGCAGCGGAGGACATCGTACCTGAAGTTGAATACCAACGTCCAATGCGCCAAGGTTGTCGTTCGCCAGCACGTACACGTACGTTATCTAGCACATATATTTGCGTTTTCTAGCACATAGATTTAGCACCATCGACATTATTTTGGTAACTTTTTGACAGGCATCAAGTCACCTATCGCACCAATAGTCACTGTTCTGGTGCGCCTTTCCATATTTCGGGCGAGTATTTAATTTTGTGTTGTTGGTCAGCATTTGCTCACGCGCGTAGATGTCAGTTGTCTCGACCGCTGCGGTGGGCACGTGGGTACATTGGGGTCTGTTCACGACCTCGCGTCGTTGCGCAAGTGAGCTCGACTCAAAATGGCCGTTGCCGTACTCGCCGCACCACGTGCGTCAATGGTTTTAATGTCACCGCTCCGTTCCGCGTTACGGCCGTCACCCGCGCGCATCCGGAGCCCTGAAGTGGTGAAGTGACGCCCCTGACGTCGTTCAGGATGCACAAGTCATCGGGTGAGGGGTGCCGGCCGGAACAAATCTGCTTTGCACAGATCTGTTTGCGTGCCGTTTTTATCGCCTGCGGTCGTGGCACCACAATAGAGTGCACACAAACGAATTATGACTCAGGAATGCCTGCAAGATATCGCGGCGTGCAGTCGACGCGTTTGTAGTTAGTGAATACGCTGGCGTTCGCGTTGGCGTTTGTCCTCGCGTATAATCGCTGACTGTCGACAATGACCGCGGTGATGGGTCACGAGGCCTTCCACTTCGTCTGCTGGTGGCTGTATAACTACCCTTATGGTGCACGTTAGTGCGCTCTTGTCCGTTTCACCTGCGCTATCGTCATTGGACTCGCTTTGAACACGCTTTGAACCGCAAATATAACATACATGCCTCACGTGAAATCACGCTGAGCACATCGATTCTTAAATGCGGCGTCTGTGAAGCGAGCCAACTGCCGGCCGTCGACGGTGAGAAGTGGCGGCCAGCGCCGCTCCGCTGGAAGTCCCGTGTTGGCACAGATCGCCGTTCGAGCCCCACCGTCCTTGTCCCGTCAGAGCGAGCGCTGATGTCATGTGGGCTGAGGACCTCATTGGCGGTCTTCCAACGATCGGACGCGCTCACCCCAGACCGGCACGTTGTCGTACTCGGGGAACTGGATCAGAGCGTGGAACAAAGAACAACTTCGTCACTTGATGCGAATTTGCTCACGTGCGGGCAGAGCATGCTGACGCCGCTTACGTTTGTGATGCGAGTGCATACGCCGCCAGGCGCGGCGCTTGTTGCCAAGGCGTAGGCCATTTTTTGGTCTGCGAGTGGGGGAGGCAATTCAGCGGGCTTGCCTCGGCATGCTTGGGTTCCTTGCCTTAAAACATGCTCTGGAGGACCGACGTCAATTAACATCATTTCCCATACAAGTACCTGGATACGAATCGCATTGCCCCGAACGTGGAGCGGGTAATTGTGTCGAAGTCGCCGGACATAGTGGCGCTCCGTGGCCGCTGAGGTCTTGCAATGTTTGCGAAACTACCAGCACCTTTGGTGGTATATCAGCCAAGCGCCATGTCTAAAGCGCATGGAGTCCGCCATTTTCAACTGATACTGCCGGCGTTCCCACCGATGCACAGCCGTGCGCTAAAAATGATCCACGGTCGTCCGCCCGGCATCTTAACTCTGTGTGAAATTTCATCGTAGAACTCCGAAGCATCCAGAAAACAAGGCGTGTGTACATGCTCCGGTCAGTCTGGGCTGACCGATTATGTATTAGCGCGCAGTCGCCTTTCCCCGGCGTGCGGAGCCGACCAACGATCATACAAATGCAAGTCAGCATAGCGCCTTGTTCAGAAGTACCGCCGGCCGGACCCAACCGGCCCGGACACGGCGCCCCAAGGCACGTCGGCCCTAAATGGAGCATTGCAAACGGTCAAGACAGGTCTAATCGACGAATGTACATAACATGGAATGGCTCGATTTCCATTTCTAAACACCGAGCGGGCAGTGGGGAGCCATCCTGAGCCCAAAATAAAGACGTGGGACAGCAGAATCGCCCACCATCGCCTTTGAGCTCGTCGGGGCCGACACTAGCACGGTAACAGTGGGGAGCAGTGGACGCGACATTCGGCATTCAGCTCGCATTCATCTGGCACTCAATAACAACTAGCGGGCACGCCCGGCGGCTAGTAGGCGCGCTTGTGTAGATGGTCCTTGATCCTCCGCGTGTGGCTCGAGAACGTGTTGATGCTGTCGTCCACGCACTGGACAGCGCACGCCTCAAATTCGCCTTTGTATCCCTGCACCTGTTGATGCGGAACGGTGTTAGAAACTGCAAACGAACGATCGCAGACAATGTGACATCTATCGTCGGCAGGATGCGCAAAAATAACCATACAAATATGGTATTTCACCGCTTGTGGAGAGGCACCATTGCCGGAGGGTACCCGTCCGAACCCAGTCACGCACGGAGCCACTCACCTCTGTCTCGGTGGTGTTCGGCCCGACCTTGTCCTTGATCTTGTCCTGACACTGCATCACACAGCGCTGCAGACGTTCCTGAGGAACCACCAACCAAACGGTCTCAGTGCAGTGGCGAAGCGTCGAATGAGCGTAATCTTTACATGTACTGTATGTTTTAGGCTGGGCAAGCCGATCTGGTGAGGCATGCCAAAGAAAGCACATGGAATAAACGTAACGAGGGGGGGGCGACTGATTCCTGCGTACGTTGTTCGTACGGAGTGACACGATTAAATTTACATTCGGGGGTGACATTTTAGGTGTTTGAAACCAGTTTTTGGACACTTTCTTATTTGCATGAGCATACGCCAAACTATCGATACAAATTAGCAAGAAACTCAGAAATCAGCATTCTTGCAACTTTTTAACTACAAATTCCGTGCTAAATTTGAGATTCTGTGAGGAAAATTGCTGCTGTTACAACTGACTTTAGGCTCCCGATTTTGGCCTCTGTGATTTAGATGGAACTTTCTGCGGTCTCCCTCGAGGCTCTGATGGAGACACTACAGTCTCCATGGTGCATCATGACACCACAGTCTCCATGGTGCATCATGACACTACAGTCTCCATGGTGCATCATGACACTACAGTCTCCATGGTGCATCATGACACTACAGTCTCCATGGTGCATCATGACACTACAGTCTCCATGGTGCATCATGCTGAAGCAATTTTCAGTTCTGTCTGCAGTCAACAGTTCCTGTTGGCCAGTTCAAACACATAAAGCTATTTCATATGCTGTTCAGCTAGTCACTGCAACCCTGCTCACATGTATCCATCATCAGGAAGAGCACATGCACTTATGTCCACAAGCATTTACCTGAATGTCACCCATCTGCACTTGCACAAAGTGCTGTGCCTTCTGAAGAGGGATTGAGCATTGTTCAATGCAGCCATGCACTTTGTCAATTGAAGAGTTTGAGTCATCACAGCACTTAGATGCACACCGATGCATATCTCCCTGCAAATGAATCAAGTGTCACCAACACCCGGTCAGGTTTATAACAGAACATACAAGCATATAATTTGTTCCCTACACTTAAGAACAAAGATGTCAGCCTGACAGCAAGGTCAGTCAGTACAGGAATTGGTGGATTTAACACACCATCAGAAAACATGGAGGCATAGGGCCAGTATCTACATGAATGACACAATCCTTTCAAGTATTTTGCTCCATGTTATGAGCATGTGAATGATCAATGCTTGGCATTCAGCAAAGCTTCTTTCAATTGTCCGAGCTCCAGTGTAGGATGGCCTGGTTTGCAGCACAACAATGTGCAGAACACATACAGTGCCAGATGTCATGTCTACCTTGTGATTAAATACCATTTTAATGATCAGCAACATGGACAACTCAGTGCTTTCAAAGTAGGTAAGAGATCAAGCTGCACACCAAAATGCAAAACATCTGTTGAGAACCATGAAAGGTGACAAGTTTGGCACTGAAATTGCTATAGAGGGTACAAAAAGATAATGATATGAACTTCAAACAGTTGTTACTTTCAGTGCTCCACATACCTGCATTTTTCTCAGATAGCTCTTGTCTATATCTTCGACCATACTTGTCATTGAATTCTGCACTCGTTCCTGTGCTGCTTCTGCCATTATGGTGAGTCTTGCTGAAATGCATCACATAGTTATGGGCTGAATAAAATTGAACTTAAGCATGGATGGCTGACAAACCATGCTAAGTGCATATCTAACATAAGACAAAATGAAATAACAAATGAATCAAACATTTTAACTTAACCATCAACTTAGATTGAGCATTTTAATTGAATGGAAAAAATGAAGTCAACATTTTAATTCAATTTGATTTCTGGGATCATATCTCACACTGAGCAGTCCTCAAACTGATCCCATCCAATCTGACCCCTACCTCCACATGTAAGATGAGAGGCATGTGTTCTAATTGAGCTGTTCAAAGTGATTGAACTATCACAATGTGATTCTGAAGTTGATGACACTTAGTTAATGATATTTAGATTCAGTCTCACTGGCTGTCCAGCTGGATCAATTTTGAGTTGATTGACACAGTTTGCAACATGGTCATAACTGGTGTAAAGGTTACATTTCAGCTAGGAGCATGGTGCTCATGTAATGCTCTTTTTGTTCAGTCACCTCAGTTTCTATCAGTGTCCCCAAATGGCAAGGCCACTTTCCAAGCCAGGCAGGCTGTTTATGAAAGTGTGGGGCCTAATGTCATTGATACCAAGACTTGCCCTCACAATACTTTAAAATAACTGTGTCGCAATCAAATGTCTGGTGCCTTTGCACTGTACACCTTATCTTTTCATTTTAGGTTACATACATTTTAGAAATCCTGCTGCTCTGCACACACGCTGTAATGTAATTCCATAGGCGGCTATACATGCAACGCAGTGGAAATGGACTTAACATATCAACGTCGCACTAACGGCCAGACAGAGTGGCAAGCTTCTGTTACACAATACAACCATGAAGTGTGAATTATACTTAAATAATTTACCTGGTAGCGTTTCTAAACGAACTCCACAGCGCCACCCCCTATCCTTCAAGCACAGCACCGGTTCCGGCTCCCGTCCTCGTGCGCCTCCACCATGAGGAACGCGAAATATTAGCGCACAGAGGCGATTATCGTATGCTCCTCGCCTAACGTTTACGTGACGTCATTGGGGTTGCGATTTCAATGCGCTTTAGGCAGCCGGGAGTGGTGCGCAAAGCCGCAGCCCATGGGGCATCCGGAACACCGGAAAATGAACATACTGTTAGCGTCAAGTCTCCTCACTAACTAGCCTTGTGACTAGATCACGTATTAATTGCTGCAAGCATGATTTGTGCTTTGCAAACCTATTCGTCAAACTAGTAAAATGAAATGTCATGAAAAGTGAAGAAGCATACACATAAATTAAGCCAAACAGGGAAGGTCGAAGCAACAGATTTTATCCGTGCCGATAGAGAGCGATTTTTTTATGGCCGGTTCGTATAACCAGTGAGCCGATCGTAAAGGATCTAATGACGAGTGTGAAAATGCATTGAAGCCTATTTAACAGACCATTACAATAGTGTCACTCAGGGTCTATTTCAACATGCCAACTGAGGGCGGATGATCCCCACTAGTGACCACGAAATCCCTTTCCCAGTAAACCATGAAATTCCTCAGTGAGAGGCTTGCTTTGCTAGCAGCTAATGCTCGACCAGATCTTTAATGGTTCAGGTAGAGGTCGAAGTCGCGGTGGGTGCATGCATTCTGTATGGGGACAAGTAATAGCACAGGCAGGGGGCACAGGGGCTTCCCCCCGCCCCTTAGAATCCGAGAGGCCCAAAGGGACTCTTGGAACTTATAATTAAGAACCGATTTGAGGGTCCGTTGGTCGCATCCTGCTGCCCGGCCCGCGGGTCCGGGCATTGTAATGCCAGCCAGAGGGCCCTGCGTGCTGATCAAGGACCTCCTGAGTCGATAAGGGCCTAACTGTCGGTCAGACACCACCAGAAACTCGCATTCGGCACGTGGCGGAACGGCCTGAGGGCCTATTACCCAGGCAAAAACAAAGCCGGACCCAGCAATTTACATTGTTCAGCGACGCAGTGTCTGACAAGCACCCGACAGCGCCTAACGAGGGCGTTGCGTCTGCAAGGACCCCTGAGTCGGCCAGAGGCGGCGTTCAAGTAGGCCCAAAGGGTCTAGAGTGCCCACAGGGTCCGATAGCCAAGGGCCCGATTGGAGGGTTACAGGGCACGAAAGGCTGGTCGGAGTCCTATTCAGGGGGGGGGGGGGCGGTCTGCGGAAGCAGGACCCTCCGATAACGGTCAAATGGACCTTTGTGCCGATCGGGGGACCTCCTGAGTCGATATGGACCCATATGTCCGTCAGGCACCACCAGTACCGCGCAATCGGCTCCGTGTCAGTATGGGCCTGAGGGCTCACTTCTCCATCAGCCATAAACCCGGGGTCAGTGGTTTACACTGGCCGGGGCCATGCATCTGTCAGGGGAACACATTGCCTAGCAAGGGGTGTTGTACTTGCAAGAGCTCCCGGCCGACCAAGGGAAGTATCCGATGAGGCTCGAAGAGGAGCGCGAGCGGCCCACCGGAACCGACGATCGGTTTTAGGGCATAAGAGCCCGAAGGACTGGCTGTGGGTCACGTAACGAATCGTGGCCCTTAGGGCTGTAGGATCTGAAATATCAGTCAGAGGTCCTCTTGCGCCGTTTGAGGAACTCCTGAGACAATGCGGGTGCTGGGGTCCGCCAGAGACCACGACCACCGGACAATAAGTTTTATGCCCGTCTGAGTACCTGATGACCATTTCCCAAAGCAGGAACGAGGCCGGGGCACACGATTTGTAATATATGGTGTCCCTGACACAATGAGGGACACCTGTGTCGCCCAGGGGCCCATAGTGCCAAACAGGGATCCTGTGGCGGCAAGTAGTCTTGCGTCGGAGCAGTGTTTGAGAGGGCCTGAAGAGGGGCCGAAGGGTCTCCTGAGTACAAAGATCAAGGGCTGGTTTGGAAGGCTGAAGTTTCCGAAGGCCTGGCTGTGGGTCACATTAAGGACTGTAAACCAAAGGGCCGCTGTCTCAAATGCCAGTGAGAGGACCTCTTGCACCGATAGGCGTTCTGAGACAGCGCGCTCCTCCATTTCGGCCAGAGATCATCAACAACGGACAGTCGGCTCCGTGTTGGTCTGAGGTCTGGGGTCCATCTCCCAAGCAGGGTCCAGGCAGGGCTCGCGATTTACATTGACCAGGCTCATGTATCGTTCAGGGGTCCACAGTGTCTGGCAGGGCATCCTGTGCCAACAAGGAGTCTGGAATCGGTCAGCAGAATATTTGCCCAGCATGGATGGGGATGGGAGCCTGAAGTCAAACAAACATCAATAGGCTTGAGCCTGCGCACCGGTTGAGGAAAGCATAGCCTACGTTAATCATTGCGCGTCTGGGAAGTCAGAGGTACGGGGTTCGATTCCCTGAGGTGCCCCCCCCCCCCCTCCCCTCCCCCCTTCCCACCATGGTGAGAGGTAGGCGACACCGTATAGCCTAAGCAGCTGAGTGCGTCATAAAACCCCATTGACACGCCCGTAACCTCGGGGAGCAAGGGCAGCAATGGCCCGGCTTGCTGTTTCCGTAAAATCGACGGCGTTGGCCACTGCAAATCACGCTAATGGGCGGGGCGCCGATTAGCCAAAGACAACCGCAAAATAATGCTGATAAGACAGTAGTATGAGCCTCATTCCTTGGAGGCTATTGTTGCGATAGAGACATGTTGCCGACTGACTGCAAGACGTCTGCTATTGTTTGGATGAAGGCATGTTGCCGAAACCTCAACCCAACTATATCTCCATTCTCCTATTTTTTATCCGAGGAATGAGGGAAATACTACTGTCTTATCTATGTGAATAATGCTCCTAGCTAATGCACTGGACAACTTACGCAAAATAATGTTTCTGAATGTCTTCCAAAATTATTTCGCACATTTCAAATATTGGACTGGACGACTCTTTTATAACTTTGAAGTTGTCCTTTGGGCAGATTAAGAGTTACAGCAACGCGAAAACTAAAATTTTATATATGCTCCTCCAGGCACACCACCAAACACAGTTAACACCCTGGCTATCTTAAGACAAATCGTTGAACCATTTTGACGTTCACCCTATATTCGCGGGGTCCTTGATATTTCTGTAATACCCAGAGAAAACCTCTGACAAAGTTTCTGAGCCTGGTTTGAATATATTGGTTTGAGTGTAGTCCAATAGACCATAATAAAATGAAGAGTGCTGGCGATTTTACTTCATGCAGTCGTTAAACGCATGCTTTTTTCAGTTGATTAAACTATGAACTTTAGACAGATTTGATCTCGCGGTAGCGTGTGACTTACTATTCCAGTTATAAAAGGTGTTATATATATATATATATATATATATAATATATATACGAAAAAACATGCTCCCCCCCCCATTAACAAATAGGGCAATATCCGGCTATTTTGGGGGCTCTTTGTCAAGCCCTGTGCCTACCCCCTCGCCAAGGCTTTGGCTGCGCGCCTGGGGTCAAGCAGTTGTTCTTAGACAAGAAAATAAGAAAAACAAAAAGAATGAGAAGCCGGTTTTGAAACACTCGACAGGTCTGTGTCAAACCGCACGCAGACAGGACAGGTCAGACATGGCAGATCGAACAGACAGGAAGGTCCGCAAAATTTAGAATGTACCGTAAAATAACATTGCATGCTATCGAGCCCCGTTTACGTGTCCACGTATGTCAGCTGAAATCTGATTGGCGTAGAGGCGTGCCGAAGCTTGGGCAAGGTGTGACCAAAAGGTGCTAAAGGTACTAAAATATGTTGCTAAAGGCACAGCAGGTGCTAAGAAATATCACATGTTCTCGATCTTATTCTACGTGTCCACGTCTATCAGCTGGAATTTGACTAGCGAAGATCCGTGCCTAAGTTTGGGTTTGGGGAGTTTGTCGCAAGCACCTGCTGGCGCTTGTAACAAACTTTCCAACTCAGCGAGCTAATATAAACGGCGTGCAAATAAACGCGTGAAAAGTCCACGGCGGCCTGCGCAGAGATCTGGGTTGGTTGTCATGGCGCCTTCTTTTGTTTGCCAGAAATTCAGGCCGTCATGTTTTCCTAACTCTGTTGTAGTTCTAACAATCTTGCTACTACCGCAATTCTTCGATACCGTATATGTTCCAGTCTATCTTTGATTTACAGTATGTCGATTACCCGACAAACGTAATGAGAGATGCGGCAGCTGTCGGGGACGCTGCCGCATCTCTGATAGTGTCAAGTATAGCTGAATAAGTTATTTACAACTGTAATCCCCAGGATCGTCCTCGATCTGCAATCTTACACTTCGTGAACTGGCATTTTTCAGGCAGATCGGCGTCCTCCTACTCATGGGGATTCAAAATTTTGGCAGTGAATATATTTTCAACGAGTTAACTTCTGGTTAATTTATTGCGCCACGTTCACGATTAATGGTAACCCTCGAACCCCCCACCAGTGCAATG